AAATTTACTCGCAGAACTCCCTATAACTGAAAATTTGAAAGAGAAAATGGTTGTATGTTTGTTAGGTTTATTCTTATGTAACGAAATCTTGATAATTTCAACACAATTAATGAAATGATTACAAATATAACATATCATTATATGCGTATGTTTGAACTTATTATTTGATTGTTGATCAAAGAGAAGCAAAAAAGGAAAGAGAAATTCTTGATTAAACTATTTTTTCCGTCTTTTAGCAGTATCCTGATTCAGCAATCTCTTAATGAATTTCGGCGTCATTGATAAGATGATTCAAAATATGAAATATCATAACATACGTTAAGCTAAACGCACAACTAAAGTGTTGAATTAGGAATGGTACAAAGAAAAAATAAAGTTAACTATTAAATAATTACATGCTTTCATCAGGTTTATCTGAATTAAAAAATATAATGCTTAGATTAAGTATACCGTAAACAATGTCACATACTCTTAACAGCGACATCGAAATGGGTATATGATTTTCATAAAATCTCATAACTGTTTATGAATTATGTAATAATTGTATATAATAAATTCTTCAATGCTGGAGAAAAGGATTTATCGAAGTGATGAGATTTCAATGAAAAAACCTCATCGTGATATTTCTCTCTCTCTATCTCGCTCTGTAGTATTCCAGAAGTCGTCCCATCAATTTAAACAACTACTGATACTTATTGCTATTGGTCGTACGCCAAATTTCGGAATCAAAGAGAAAAGCTTTATAGTGTTAATAGATGATATCTGATCCTAATGGACACTTTCGTTGAAATTCTTAGGTTTGGCCAAGTTTAGTGAGATAACATTTGTAGACTTAACGTAGAAGAGAAAATAATGTTGTCAACAGTGGCGTCTGTGCTTCTATTTGAAGGAAAATTTCTATCTACTTTGCTAATCCAAAATAAATGAGACAATCATTTCGCGTGATATCTAGTTGACAAGCTAGTATTTGATGTTGTAAGATAGCTGTTATCTATTATAACCAGTTTCTTTATTAGTTCGCCATTCCAGAAAAATAGAGGCCACGTCTAATAAATCGTCTAGCTACAGATAATAATAAATTAGAAAGAGCAATATCCTAATTATTCATCTGGTACAGCAATCTTAAAAAGGAATATACATATTCATTTACTCGTTTGTATCTTTAGAATAAATAGAATGATGAGTACGCTTCTCAATAGTCTGTTTACTCATTTGTTTTTGTTGCGACATACTAATGTTGCTTTCTTTCTACACAATGAACTTATCTCAATGATTGCAGCACGTTCAATCTACTCTATCTATGATACTTGCATGCACAACAAGAGAACAACACCAACAACTGTCTCATGAAACAGCAGAAGTAACATTAATAATATTGATAAATCTTATTTATCGGAAACAATTACAAGAATGGTTACATAATCGTTTTGCTACTCGTCTCATTAATAATGCACAACAATAATGATTACGTCATGATATATTAGTTGAAAAATTATCTGACACGATTGAGCAACAATGTTATGATCCAATATCTATATATAATTACTGTTTTATTGATCGTCTATTTATGTTTGTCATGCTACTATTACTTATCTTTTTTGGATCGTTTTTCTCTATGTATCTCTTTTCTTTGGTGATATGTGTATGTTGTTTGACATGATCAGATATCGATTTCCAAAGAGATGGAATTGTTGTCAATCAAAACGTTTTTTTGAGCTATGTTTCTCAAAAGAAAAATGTAACACATAAACTTCTAATTTCTATTGTCTTGTTTCATAAAAAAATGTTCATATTGAAAAACTACATTCGCCAAATTTTTATTCGTCCTTTTTTTTTCTTTTTCAATCGCATTCTCTGCGTTGAAAACGCTGATTCTTTCTATATCTAAAAAGAGACACTTTTACAAATCGTAGCTGAGACATTTTTTTTAACAATCTATGACAAAAAAAATCTATAAATAAAAATATGTATGTTAAGAAACTTTTCATTAATTTATAACGATATGTTATCATATCGCATACACGATCAAACAAGAAAAAAACGGAAATTAATACTGATCTGAACTAGAGTTAACATACTAGTAGATATACATATACTGTTCATGTGTAACTTTTAAAAAGGACACTCGTGTGTAGGCTGTAAATAGTCTATGATAGTCTGAGATTTCTCTAGTTTAAATGGCTGATTTATAAACGAAGATGTTCGTTTTGTTGTCCGAGCTGGTATTGAACTTAAATAGAATGCAGTCACTAATTTGGTTGTTTTTTCAGGCTCTGATGTTGTTTGGCGATCATCATTGGAACATACACATAAGACATCATCTTTTACGGTATTTGACAATTGATCGCATTCAGTATGAACAAGAGTTGATGAATTATTAGTAGTAGTCTTGGCTGTTTGTAAACATTTTTCAACCCATTGGTCAACCTGTTCATTAATTGATTGCCGTTCATCTTTAATGTCTTCTTCTGCATTATTAACATCATGCTCATGGCTTTTTTCATGTTCTATATTGATATCTTCAGGATTAGCAGCACATGGTAAAAGATCATAATCGTCATCATCATCATTGGTTAGGTCTAAATTTTTAATTAATCGAATTTCGTTTTCAATGTCTGCAATATGTTTTAATATAGCACGCGAATTTGTTTTTGTTAGTTTGGGTGAAAATAAAATCGGTGGTGGTGATGGTAATTTGATATTGGTTTCATCTAATGGAAGTATAAATGGATTCTTACGTGACGATATCAATTTTGGTGATACAATATTAGTCGAAGGTTGTTTATCTTTACGTTGTTTATGTGAACGTTCATTTTCAAGTATTTCTTCAAATTCAAGCGAAAAATGATCATTAATTGAACGAGATGATGAACTACGTGAATGATACTGATCATGCGTTTGGTCATTGGGTAATTTTACAGTGCTATTTTTCGTATCAGTTGATGCTCGTTGGTAACGATATTGAATAGTGACTTTTGGTGGCATTTGTGAAGCTAAAATATTTTAAATAAAAAATTTTTGTTTTTTTAATTATATTATTTTTTATTTTATTTTACTTTTTCTTTGCCGTGTTAAACTACCAATCTCTGAAGTTACTGTGTGTGGAACTACATATTGTTCTGCATTAGTAGTTCGTTTTGAATTCTTTTGTATTACTAATGGTGATGATATTGTCGAGATTTTCTTTTTAAGTTTCTTTTGACGACAACGTTGCTTATCATTTCCTAAAACACCATCACTGCTTGTGTTATTTCCTAGCGATGAATTCGATGGAGATGGTGACGAGGAAGAAGCCGATGACGATGATGATGAATCGATAACTCGTGAACTCGACAGAGAGAATCCATGTCCACTATCACTTTGATGCAAAATAACACTGGATGCAGGTGCTGGTGTAGGTACTACTGGTGGTCGAGGAGGTGATGGTGAACTTGTTAGATTAGTATTAGTATTTGATGTTGTTATTGGAAATGATTCTGAATGCATTAATGCTGAAGGTGATGTACGAAATGTTGGATCATATATACTATATTCAGGTTGTGATATACGAGGTATTAGGGGTGATGCTTGATGTTGACATAGATCTGGTGGTTCAATAAAAATTGATGATCGATTGTTTAGTAAAGTATTTCCAATCCAAGGATTGGTTCGAATTTTAGAACGCTGTTTTTTAGATAAACTCGTTGTTGTTGTCCATAATGAACTATTACTTGATGAAATAATGCTTGGATTTGGCGTTGAATATTGTGATGAATTGAGATGTGTCGGATGATGTAGTGATTGTTGTTGTTGTTGTTGATGATGATGGCAATGATGACGAAGATGATGGTGTTGGCATTCACGACGTGGACTACATGTTGCTAATGTGCTTGAATAATTACGATTTGAAAACGATGTTTGTTGTTCTAATAATAGCTTAGGTGGCAGTGGCGGTGGCAATGGAGGTGGAATAACAGGTGATGCTTGTTGTAAAATACGACATTGTGAACATGAAGACAATGTGTTATCATGCGGTGATCGTGTTCCAACTATTGTATTGACTAATTCAGCATGTCGAGCTAATAATACTTGAGTACGACTATGTTGATCATCAGTAACAGTACCATTAATATCTTCGTAACTACAAATATCATAATGACAATCAGCGGATGCTAGTGATTCTTGATGAGTTTTTGTATGAATCGATTTTGAATTTGATTTTGAAGATGACATGTTATTTTTACGTTTAGATACAAGTGAATTGAAATAATCTTTAAATTTCATTTTTCTCAGAGAAAAAAAAACAAAAATCTAAAATAAGCTAAAATAGACATATTAGTGGGCAAGTGTATTAGAGAAACAGATGTATTTTGCCATGAAAAAAGTACGCAAGTGTTGAATCATAATTGCATCGTATACCATTCGGTAATCTCTTTTTCTTTTTCTCTGCGTTCTGACGATACTCATAACTCACTGGTGCCCGTTCAGTGCACGGTTCGTTTAATCTTTCTTCAGCTGCTGCCATTGAGGAAAAAAAGTAGTATGGTATTCTATATAGGATGATCAAATAAAGACAGAGTAGTTATTTTATTTTGTAATCATATCCTTCTTCTTCATTTTCTCGTCCAAATTCGTCCTTATATATTTGTATAAACACAGTGTGCATTTGTTTGAAGCGCTCATCCCTACGAGCAACAGATGTGTAACTTACATGAACTAAACGCGCGGCTAGAGTACTCTTTCGTACAGAAGTCGAGTTATTATTCTAATAGTCAATATTCATCATCGTCATTGAACAAAGCAAGGTTCCTAGGTCTGTTACATGTGAATTTCTTCTCCTTCTTCTTCTGCTTTTCTTTTATTGTTACATACGAATAGAATATTGAACTTGCTCATATGTACACTGACAATTAAATAAGAATACGACTGCTCCCTTAGGGTATACTATTTCTACTGCCTTCTATCAATATGTTGTTCGTTGACCGAGAGATTGATATAGGCAGACAAGCAGACACATGTACTGGCCACTGACGAACTCCATTAAATGTTCAATATACAGAATACGTCATATTCTCCATAGACAAAAAAATAATGAATAATGCGACTCACATTATTAGATTAAGATATGCAATCTTATATCATATTTCTTAAAGAAAAACTGTTATACATTGTCGAAAAGATCTTTTGAAAATATGATTAATGTACATTTTTTTTCTTCGACAGTAATACGTATATGTTTTGCTTATGTCTGATCTTACCGTATATTTGAATAAAAAAAAGGGCTTGAAGAAATACACAGAAATTTCTTCCATGATCCGGAAACATGTCTCTCGCGCTTTCTCTCTCTCTCTCTCTCTCATGTTCTTTCTTGAGGGACGACAGTGTCCTTGACATGAACCGACAAAGACGGCTACACCAAGAAAAAGAACAACAACAGCAAATACGCATCTCTCGCTTAATTGAAAAGATCCGATAGAGAAAGAGTGGAATGACAGATGGATGCACACAATAATTATTCGAAAATAGAAAAACAGCTCAGAACAGAAACTATTGATCGGAAGTTTTGATTGACTGTAACTGAATAAATATAGAAACGCGGCAACAAGAACTAATATACCATGCATACAAACAGGTGACAATCAAAACACTTGCACTTTATTTTTGTCACATATTGTAGTTTCTATGCAACATGATACATGAAATAAGATGGGTGTGACATAGAAGAGAGCGAAACGCATAGAAAGTGATAAGTACAATGAGAGAGAGAGAGAGGGAGATATCACTATTGATTTAAATCAAACTTTACAGTGTATATTTGTGTTTGTCGTTAAAGTGTAACTAAAAACAGGCTAATAAAATAACAAGAAAATGAAGAAAAAGAAGAAAAAAAAGCACAGACGTGGCATTATTTAAATGCAACGGAGTTTCTTTCTCAATGTGTATCGTTTATGTTTACCAGAATTATATCACCTGTGCAATAAGATCTTAATAATTGCTGTATGGAAAGAAAAATGCAATGAAATCTACAAATTTAGTTCGCTCTTTCTGTTGCTTTTTCACTGAACAGGAATCTATTTATTATAGTGCACCATAGATCATAATATGTACAAGCTGGAAATCATAACTAGATCGTATATGTTTATACAACGTTCTATGAATGTTAGGAATAGAAGAGTTTGCTGTATATATATGTAGTAGTTAGTCGTACGAGAAAGGATGTTTTATGTTTGTTTTACGTGCTCTATATCATACGTAATATAATCTGTCATATGTGTTCAATGAAGACAAAAGAATATATATGCATTGATAGGAGTACTAGTATTTCTAAGGGATGTGAATATTTTTTTAAAGCATAAATCAGCTTATCGCGTTTAGTCGGGCGAGAAATATATAAGAAACATAGAGAGAGCATTAGTAACAGTCGATTAGCTTACTTTCTTCGTGGTCTTTACGAGATGCTTTTAACAATACATCTTTTACATGCATCTGTATATCAAGGCGTAGCAAAGTGGGGGTACAACGAACGATTTTTTCTTTGATTGCATACACACAAAAAATCTTTGCTTCGTCTGTTTTTTTTCTCTTTTCTTCACGTAGAGTATACGATGAGAAATGAGTCACCTATATTTGGTGGCATTAGATATTCTTTTTTTCTTCTTGCTTCTTTCTTCTTTTCTTTCACAGATCGTTCAGTGATTTCTTTTTTCCTCGTCTCAATTCTTCCTCTCGTTTATGCATTATGGTATGGTAGTATTTCCTCTTCGTTCTTTTTGTATATATATTCTTTTTTTTTGCTATGATGCGAGGCGTCAGTCGAACCAAGGAAGAAACAATTTGCTGTCGTGTGCCATAGAAAGGACATCAATATGTGTGGAATGAATAAATGAATGCATGAAAGAAAGAGAAATATCGGACGTATGGGGACTATTTGAAAAAAGATCCTTTATTATTGTTAGTCTTGATGTAGGATCAACACAAAAAGAATATCAATATGACACTATGAAGGACAGAAGAAAGCACAATGGATAGAATTCATGCGTAGATTAGATATTTCAAAATAGCATTCATATTTTATAAGGACTCTAAATAATTAATCATTTATCATACAAACATCCTGTCATCATTGATGAAAATAAAGTGACATGTGCCCATCAATCCCTCTTAACATAGGAACTATTCAATTCACAGTGGTTATCATAAGTATATAAATGAACTGAAGATGAGAAAGCGATTCAATTTCCGTTTATAGCCAGATGTTCGTTTTTTGGTATTCTCTATCTTAACAGAGTGACACTGCTGTTTCGATTAGTTGAGTGATGATTATACATGTTAACTGTCTATCAGCTCTGTCACATATCAAGGTGTATAAACTTTGAGGTCAAACATATACATATACCTATAGATAGATTTAGATATGTTTCATACAAGGCTATCTCACTACAGTTAATTTTTTCTTTCCGGTATATATGCATGTATGTAACATTCCTTCGGTGGTGCCTTTCCGTTCGCTAATCTAACGGAAATAACTATTGTTCATAATGAACAGGTGTACTGTTCGATTTCCTCGGAAAAATTGGATCACAAGGTAAAGCGTATATAAAAATATTAACACATATTAAGGTCATCTTAAATAAACTTTCAACTTGCCTATGTCCATGTGCAGATGTATTTTGTATAAATCATGAAAGTTGACATGTGTGTATATAGAGCCGGTCAGTATAAATTATAAAGTGTATTTTGAACGTAGCAGTGACAAGGAATAGCATTGACATATAATGAGATGCAAAACAAATTCATCCATAGACTGCCTTCTATTTTTATTTTGATTGAAAACATAGCATGCTAATACATTTACGGTGACATGAATAGCATTGAATATAACAATAAGAAGAAAAAAAAACAGAATAAGAAATGTAACTAATCAGGCAAATGCCCGAATCAAGTGGGTAGAAAATTTGTTTTTAACATAACAAATACCAATTCGATGAAGTGAAAGAACTAGTGACATTAGCAATCAGGGCAATATCCAAAAAATGGCATATTTATCAGTTGATACAGAGAAGGGCATGCGGTTAACCTTCGTTATGACAAGACAAATGAGATTGACAATGAGACAAAATGATGATGACAAGGTTTTCATGCCGCCATACTGTCTGACTGAACCGTTTGACCGATTTATGTAAGAATAATTGGTCAAGAAGGTAATTGACAAAGAAAAAATTAAAATACTCCTAAAATACCTGTTTTTTATCATAAAAAAAAATCATCCTTCAAGAACGAACACCGATTGTCCATTTTATGGATGCTATAAGAATACAAACTACCCGAATATCTCTTGATTCTTTGCTGCTTTTCTTATCTGAAGATCTAGTTTATCGATATTCTTGACATTCAGTTCAAGAACACTTGGGCATATAATTCACTATGTCCTTGTCAAATACTTGACAAGTCATTTTCTTGAAATGAGCATCTATTCGATAAATACATCGATGGAAAGTCAATTACTATTTTCTTTCTTGCTATTGATCAATCAGATGCGATCAAAAGGAGAAACCATCGATTTCAATTAAAGAAACTGTCAACATCTTTGAGATCTATGCTTGATAAAAAAGAAAACGGCTTCATAATATAATTGATCAATAAATCAAACGGCAATACAGAATGTTTACTAATCTTAACATGAGATTGATTGTTGATCGTTAGGGTTGGTTTTAAGGAGGACTTATAACATTTCTATTTATGCTTTTATTTAATCAGCTAAAGTAAACTGTTTTATTTATTTGATTTTTATCATTTAGAAAAAAAAGTGGTACAGTTCAGATCATTATACAAATAGAAAACTATCAAATGCTCAGTATAGATTCTTCAAATATTTTCTGTTAAATGTACAACTAACATTGTAAGAGTTCAAGAAAGAAAAGCAGTTCTATATGCACATCTATCCTTGAATCAGATCATAGTCAACGAATAGTTTATTGATACAGCCAGTTTGACTTCTTTGCCAAGATAAACACATTTGAAGTTCAATCGAGACTACCAAGATACTAGTTGACACATAACATTCAATAACTATATACTCAATGAAATTTTCTTCTCTATGAGCGCATTTCAGTATGAATTGTTCACTGAAGATTTCCTCATTATCGAAAAGCATCTATGAAAAAGTTCATTCAAGTTTTAATAATATAAAGTCGATACTGCTATAAAGTACTTACATACAAGGTCATACACACTCCAGAAAGAATCGATTTTATTTTAAGTATATTTCAAATATTGTTTTGATACAACTAATAATAATATTCAAAAAAAAAACTCATTTGTAATTGTAATAGAATAATATTCTATGTAGACTTACCTTAGAAATATATATCTTTTATAAAAAAAAGTAAAATGCTTAAGAAATGAGTGACATCTGATATATTTGCAAATGATAAACGAATAAACCAATCGCATGTCTTTTCTTCTTTTGCTCAGTTTAGCTCGATAATGGTCCATGAAATTTTGGGTTTTCTTATGAGAGTTATTCGATCTATTTATTCGTTCATTAAATCAATTTTTCAAGCAGAAACTTCTAAAATGGCATCGTCGAATATGAAAATTCAAAACGAAAATGCATCGGTTGAAACCAAAAGGACACCGAAATCATCAAAAAATCATGTAAATTTATTGTTTTAACTTGGTTAAGAAATAAATTCTTTTTTTATTGTTGTTCTTGTATTTGAACTAGAGCTATGATATTGATTGGATTAAAAATACTAATGCTAAATCTTTTTTACCTGATCAACGACATTTATTAAAAAAACCGGTTACTGATCAAGGTTGTCAAAAACGGTTAAGCAAATACAATGGACTTGTGAATCGCATGTCATCGGAAGAAGTTGATGAGGAACTAAGAAAACGACAAGTATCAACAAGGTTAAAACAAATCGTTTTTTAATTTGTTTATTAAAATCTTTTTTTTTCATTTGTGATAGCTAGTGGTGAGATTGAAATCCGACGGCTACGTTTAAAACATCATTATAAAGCTCAATTAATGTTGGGGCATGAAAACCCATTCAAAATGATTCAACAACATTTTGAATATATTGCTGTTGTGGATTTCGAAGCAACATGTGACAATAATCAAAGAAACAATTATCCACATGAAATCATTGAATTTCCTATTGTACTTATTAATGTACAACAGCAAATGATTGTAATTATTCGACAGGACAAAACTAAATTGCATATAAAAGAAACATTATTTTAGGTTGATAAATTTCAATCATATTGTCGACCAACATTAAATCCTATTTTGTCAGATTTTTGTACAGAATTAACTGGTATTGAACAAGTATGTGTTAATCTACGTGCTATGCTAGTATTCGATTAGATAAACCGGCGAGCTCCTTTAATGAGATTGAAAACATTGACGATTCTTCTGGATAATAAAAATGTTTTCAACAATGAAAAAAATCGATTGATGCAAATCGTAACTTTTATTTTAATGTTTGCATGTACTAGTCAAGATAGGAGATGAATATTTTCGCAGTCGAAGCTGTCGAATGGATATAGAAAAATGAAGTTTTCGAAATCACGAAAAAATTTCAGATGTCTGTCAGTATCTTATTCTTTAAACAATGGAATTGAAAAAGTGAAGTATTGCGTGGCAACCATATCTAATGGAATGAGAGAAATCTAGAAAATTTTGCGACTCATGTTTAGCATAGTTATTTGCATAGACGAACTAGTTTTTTGGATTCATTAAGAAAACTTTTAATTTTTAGAAATCAGATACCTTGGAAAAGTTGATTTAGTATAACTCGAGATTCAAATGACTACAGGATAAATCTGGAAAATAGGAATCTTTCCATCGATGACAATGGAATCATCAGAAAAATAAAAACATTTTCATTTAGCATCAGGTTGATAATGCGCCTACATTTCCTGATGTTCTACGTAATGTTGAAGCTTGGTTGAACGAAAGAAATCTTCTATCATCTCATAAACGTAAATGTGGATTTGCTACAGATGGGTATGAAAAGAAAATCATGAAACTGTCTCTATTTGAATAGAGCTTCTATTTTTTCTAGTCCATGGGATTTTGCAAAATTTCTTCGAATACAATGTGGTTTCAATTCTATACCATATCCACGATGGGCTAAAAAATGGATTAATGTGCGAAAAGAATTTGCAAGTTTTTATTCAGTGCAACGATGTGGTACGTACGACGACGACGACGACGACATACTATTTCATTTTTCATCATGTTTTCTTCGATTGATTAGGTATAACAAAAATGTTAAAGAGTGTTGGTCTAGTATTTGATGGTCGTCACCATTCAGGCCTTGATGATTCAGTGAATATAGCTCGAATTGCTCTTGAATTAATGAAGGTATGATTTTATTTTCATAATTCGTAATATTATAATTCAAATTTTAGGACGGTTGTATTCTATTATTAAATGATGGGGTTCGTGCATCGGATCCTAAATTTATTGATTTAAATATAGCGGGTGGTGATGAAACAAAGGATCTCGAAGAAGATGAAACAAAACTTGTTGATGATGATGATGATGATGATGATTTAAATGTTTCAAATGAATAATCACTGCTTTTGTTTATTAAATTGTTTTCATCAATAAAATTTTATAGACCACAAGAAAGAAGAAGATTTTCAATAGTTCTTGTTTTGTTTTTCTTTTATGACTTCAGAATATATCATGGAACAACCCGATGAATGTTTTGATCCACTTCAATTTGCCGTTGATCTTGACTTATCAGAAAGAAAATTTTCAAATACAGATGAAAAAGTTTATATATCAAAAAGTCTTATAAATCAAGCAAATGGTTCATCGTATATTGAATTAGCATCAACAAAAGTCACATGTGCTATTTATGGTCCACGTGAAACATCATCAACGTCAGACGAATCCTATTCAAAATGTTTACTTGAAACCTCAATTAAATTTTCTCCATTCGCACGTTCACATCGTATTGATCCACGTTTAATACAATATGATAATGATGAAGATTGTGAAGAATCAGAATTATGTTCACGTCTTGAAGAAGCACTTTTACCTTGCATACTTCTTCATAAATATCCTAAATCTCAAATCGATATTATTATTGATGTTATTGAAGATGATGGACAACATTTACTATCAGCAATTATTCTTTCAGCTACGGTTGCCTTGATTGATGCTTGCATCGAATTATATGATACAGTTGTTGCCAAATCATTAAAAAAGAATAATTCATTATTTACATTATGCTACATGCCCAATTTAGCACAAGTATCATGTTTATTTTTTGATGGTGAAACAACACTCAAAGAACTCGATGATTTAACTGATGAAGCTGTTAAACAATGTCAATTATTACATAAAGCTATCTGTAAAGTGGTTATAAACGATCTAAAATCAGCAGTTGCTTTGGATCGAAAAGCTGTTTAAATGATACATATGACAGATATTTTAAGTGATATTGATCATGTAAAAGTGAATTTAAAAAAAACAAAATAAAACAATTGATTGTATGATGTCTATGATAAGATCAAAAGAAAAGTTGTTTATATCATCAGAAATTTTGAGTACATAAACAAGATCGAACTGACTTCTTGTGATGTGATTCTACAAGTGAACTGTAATAAGTTGTAGATACTGTACAACATCAATTTCATTCGCTCGTGTTCTTTATACTATCAATCAGATCAAATGGTTGGAGCGTTTTGTTGACCTAAATAAGAGACAATAGATTCAAATGAACATGTAGTTTTTTTTCTTTCTCGAACGCATGTGTTTCAATTACGGATGTCTTTGAACATACATTGATTAGCTTCATCGCAAACAAATTACTTTGATAATAGATTGATGTATTTTGTCTTTGAAGACAATGTGCTAAATGCAATGATGTTATGTCAATCATGTCAAAAAGAGATATAATAAAAACATTCTTACTTGAAAAACGTTGCTGAATAAATTTTCTTCTCCTCAATCTTTATTCGTGCTCCTGCCAGTTGAACACCACAGTTAATGAAATAATCAAACAGTAGGTATTGAATACTCTACCTTTTTTCATTACCATCCCTTTGGTACTTTATGAAAAAACATACGTAGGCTCCAAAGAGTTATAGTACTTGTCTTCTGTATATTGTAATAGTCTATCTACAGCATATGAAACTTTGAAAATGTTTCCAAACAATATATTATAATAGTTCCTATTCGTTTAGTGACATCTTTACATATTGAACGTTTCTTAATCGTCCGTTGTCCATAAAGTATTGATTCGACGGATGAATGGATAGGTATAGGTCGATTGATTGTTTTCATTTTCTTGATTAGATCATTCAATAGCTTCTCCTTCTTTGGGTCTCATAATCATAATTTACTGTTTATTTTTGTTTTTAAGATGTCTCAAATTTGTCCTCAAACTTTGTCTACAGCAACATCATCGACGTCATCTCTACCTCCATCATCTTTGAATATTTTAAGTACAAGTATAACTGCAATAACGAAAATTTTTATTTATATTGACAGTAATCGAGATGATGCTAATGAGCCATTTTCAATTAAAATAAATAAACCATCGACGTCAATTACACTCGATGATTTCCTCGCTGCTATTCCACGACCATATACAAAAAATTATAAATATTTTTTTAAATCAGTTGATCCAGTTCTTGGTGTTATTCGTGAAGAAATCACCGATCTTAAACAAATTCTTCCATCAGCTAATGGACGTATTGCTGCCTGGCTCATGCCAGCTGTTTTAACACAAAATACAACTAATGATATAACAACTACAACAGCAAACACAAGTTATACGTATCGAACTCGTCAACAAGATGATTCACTATTTACCACGGATTCAAGTGCATCGGAAATGACTGATATTGCTAGTCAAATTGAGCATGATGATGATGACCGGTAAATAGATTTTACAATATAAGAAAGTTTTTGAATATATAATGTTGATTCTATTTTTTCTTAAATAGATTCTCATCGATTACAGAAACAACGAATACATCAGATATAAGCAGTAATTATCAACGTAGAAGACGACGACGAAGACGACATCAACAACATCATCGTCGACAAAGAGTAATTACTGTTTAGAGGGAAACAATAATAACATTTAAAAAAACAAATCTTCTTTGAAGGCTTCATCTATGAGCAGTATGACAGATTCAACTATTTCAATGGATGTTGTTACTGTTGTTTTAAGTTTGGGCATGTTAATTACTATTAAAATTGAAAAAATAAGATTAAATATAAATTTTTCTCTATAGAACGTATTAAATATCTCGGTATGACTGTTGTGGGAGAATCTGATGGTGGTATTATTGTTGGTTCAATTATGAAAGGGTATGATATGAAAAACGAGAAGGAGATTTTCAATTGTGTTAAACCGAAGTCTATTTCTGATAAATCAAAATATCATTTAATCTTTTTATTTGAAACTACGTTTTCTTCTACCAAGGAAAAATTCTATGCTTATCTAAGAGTTTATTTAGAGGTGCTGTCGATGCTGATGGTCGTATACAACCAGGTGATATGATTTTACAAATGAACGATATTAGTTTTGAACATATATCAAACAGTGATGCTGTACGTCTATTACGTGAAACTGTTAAAGATGCAAAGTAATAAAGCAATATTCATCTATGATTTTAATCTATCATTGTAAATTTGACATTCTATAAAAAAAAATTAATTTAGAGCAATAAAGTTAGTTATAGCAAAACGATGGAATGATCATCATGGTTTAATCAACGATGATGAAATGAATGGTTATTTTCCATTTCAACATCAAGCAGTTACGAATAATAATACTCGGCAGGGCCCCATTCGACCCATTGATCCTCGTCAATGGATTGCACAAACCAATGCCGTACTTATGCGACGACGTTCTTCACTCTCGCCACCACCACCACCAGCAGTTAGTTCAACATTGTCATCATCATCTTCAAACTCGCCACACACTAATAGTGGTGTAAAAAGTAAATTTTCCGTTTGAAAAAACTAACAGAAAAAGAAGTTATTTTAAATGCTTTTTTTTATTTAATTAGAATATCGATATGATTTAAATTTAACACGAAATTCAGATATGGAAACAATTTGTCAAGCTATGCAACAAACTCAATCAGGCTTAGAAATACGAGATCGGTTATGGTTAAAAATCATGTTGAAAAATTCTTTTCTTGGCTCGGATCTGGTTCATTGGCTCTATAAACATGTTGATGGTTTTATTGATAAACAAGATGCTAAAGATTATGCTTGTGCTTTACTTGAACGTGGTTATATTCGACATCCAATCGTTGGTTTATTAACTCGTGGTTTCAGTAAATCATGTTATTATGTATTTGGACGTTCAAATGACGATGATGATGATGATGATGGCGGCCATAGTCAAATAAATGAAATGTCACAATTAACTATAGGCGAAAGTACAATACATTATGATGCTATAACACGACCTACATATGGATTTGTCGATAAGAATAACATACCTGTTCTATATGCATCAACATCATCGTTAGCATCTTCGTTTAAGAAAAAGCCTCATAATCAATCAAGTAAGCAAAAAATGATCAATCATAGACAAGAAAAAGATTTGTTGAGAGGAAAATAAAATACTCATAATCAACATTTCAAAACGCATCATGTCTATTCTAGTTCTGGATCGCTAGTACTTTATTGATGTTTTCTTTCCATGAAAATAGAAATATGATATTTATGCGATTCTTTTTTTTTTCGTAGGCGGTGAAAGTGGTGGTATCCGTATGACACCTTTATCGTTTCTTGCGAACAATAATGCAACATTTTCAACGATACGAAGTCACAATCGTCCGAATAATAATTCGACTTGTACAACAGATAATTCAATAATAACTATATAGTCTAGTCATTTATTTTCTGTCAAGCCAGATTAATATTATTATTATTGTTTCATAGAGATATTAACTTTTTTTTCTCTTTTCGTCAAATACACGTTCGTTTGTATGTTTATTAATTTCTTTTGTGACCTTTCCTTTTTCTTTTGTTATTATCGGTAGTGATCTTTTTTTTTCTGCACATTTTTTGTTTGTTTATGTAAGATGCAGATACACATAATCCTAGATAATTGTCTACTCCCGGAATGTGAAGAATGAACTAATCAAAAGTGTTTGTATGTGTGCACGCGTGTGTGTCCAATTGTACTAAAATAGAATTTTGTCAATGATAAGAAAAATAAATTTGACTATGAACAAAAAGTTACGGACTTATATCCTACAATATATCAGTGTAGGAGGGGAGGGGATGTATGATTCTGTTTTAGATCAACATTGATGGCTATCGGAGAAAGAGAATATTGCTTTTGACAGTTTATAATTAGTAACTATAGCGTTGCACTTCAACAATGAATATCTGACACATTTGCAGAGTTGATTGATCGATTATTCATAACAATCAATTCTTCGTTGAAATAAGTATAGAAATTGTAATCTTGATAGAATCACTGTTGTGCAATGAGTTGATGATATAATCGATTACACTAGGGTATGTGTTGGCCACAACCAATGTACTAAAGTATAGTTTTTTTCTCTCACTGTAGTAGTCTATTCGAATTGTTTGATGAACACAAATAGCAAATGTCTGAATGGTTAATAGTTAGTAACTGGAGGGTATAGACAAGAGGATCTATTCTCTTTTTATTATTATTAATAATCATGTTTTCTTAGAGCCATAGAAAATTCTACTTATGAATACAAATATTTAAGTGTATTCAATATAGAAATTTCAAGATGATATCCATAAGTCTATTATTGACATAGAGAAAAGGATTTTTCTATTTCGAACCTTTTTGCATTCAATAGAAAAAAAAAACATTTGAAACATATTTCATATTTATTTTTAATTAAACAATTTTTTTCTGTTCACATGAAAAATATCTAAATTAATGAAATCTACGATTCAACAATATCATTGACGTCGATCGATACAGCTTATATTTATTGTTTAGTTTGTGTTAAATTCAGTAAGTTTATGAATATAAAATTTTGACTTCTCGTTAAAAAGAAGCTATCATTGATATGCATATAGAAAAAAGTCATCATTTCAAAAGGATTACAGAGAGTCAAAAGGAAAATAATCAATAATGTTGGTCATGAAAAGAGAGGAAAACTTGGTTTTACAAAAGAATATGATACACACGCACACACACATAAACATACGAACATAAGATCATTCTAGTTTTTTAAACTTCATACATGAGAAAACTTGTGTTTGTTGAATATGTAAATAGATTTTTGTATATAAATATTTTAATTGTTTGTCATGAAAATACTACAAAGCTTCAAGAATAAGTTGTTCTTGTGGATATAATTTTAACTGTTCAAATGTATCTAATCGATTGAGTTGTGTTAACTAAATCATAAGAAAAAAAAATATGTATATAATAAATTTTCATTGATAAACATACATCGCGCTTAGGATAGGTTGATAAAATTTTATATTCGCCAAACATGCGACCTTGACTTGTTAAATAATCAAAAAGCATCTAAATCAATTTTATTATAATCAATTTTATTACTATTGATAAATAAAATATACCTGTAGAGGATCTTTAATACGAAACCGTCTTAGTAAAATGCCTTCATCATTGGGTAGACGTATTTTCAATCGAGTAATATCTTTATCTGTATCACTTGGTTCAGCCGGTAAACGAGCTTGACATTCTTCTTGTTTTTGCTACAACAGAAACAAATTAGAAAATTAAAGCAAATTTTAACAGTCAGTAAGAAAAAAGAAATTACTAATTTTTGTTTTTTTAATCGTTCATTTGCATCATGTTCTTCTTTTTGTCTTCGTTCGTCGTCTAATCGTGCTTGTTCTTTAGCCAAATCAGCTTGAAGCGATCGATTATATTCATCTTCTTGTTGTTTTTTAAGATTTTCCCGTGTTTCACGTGAGATTTCTTCTTCAGCATCACGCTGTCGTTGTTCTTCGTATACATCATGTGATTGAATAAGAGTAAGTAGTGCTTCACTTGGCGTACTTTTGCCTTCGATAATGCTTATTACTTCTAATGAACTACGAGAACGTGTAAGAATAAGTACAAGTGGAAATGCATCTTTTTCCATCGCAGCTATACGTTGAGCATATTGATGGTTAATACATCGTTTAAATACTTCCAATAATCTAAAAATGTACTTTTAATTATATGCTAGAGTTGTTTTTGTTATTATTGCAATACCTAGTTCTGTTAGCATCTGTAGTTATATCCCAAGCCCAGACAACATAATTATTTGCTAAATATTCAACAGTTGTTTCACTAGCTAATACTTGAGCACAAAAAACATTGGCACAAACAGATCGATCATTATGAAGATAAATAGCTAATGGACGTCTCTATTAATTAAAAATAATTTATTGAGAAAAAATAAAATAATCATAAAGTTTGATTTACTTCATTTCTCGATGCCATTACAGAATCTTGAATTGCTTGATCCAATGAGCCAATATAGAGTATGGGACCAGTTGTACCGTAACGTGCATGAAATACACGTGAAAAATGTTCAAGACCCAATATATCATCTGTACAACGTTCAGGGACTGTATCGAAAAAGAAAATAGATTATAATGTCTTTTGAATAAATATATTTTATTTTTTGAATAATTTAATTAGAACCTATTAACTTACTGAGTAATTCACGATTTGATGTCATATTACTAGCAGTCGTTGTTTTCGACAAATGAACATGTCCGTTATTCATTTCATCATCATAGGATTCTAAATCTATTATATGATCAACTTCCATAGCGTCATCTTCACTTTTATGTTTTGTCAATGTGGAATGCTAGTAAATAAAATTGGACGTGAACAGGATAAATTTAAAATAAAACAAATTTACTTTTGAATCAAGTTTATTTGTTGGTAGTTTGGGTGTGGATGATGAAGATGATGATGACTCTAATTTACGTACCGAAAGATGAGCTTTACGACTGATGGAAGTATGTCGCAATTGATCCTAAGTAGAAGACAAGAGAATCAGTTGAAAATTTCCGTCTCTTTTGTTTTCAGCAAGAATATTACTGTATCTTTAACGCCAGATAAGCCAGTCCAATTTTGCTGACGAGTTGGTAAATTAGTTGAATGTTCAATTTCTTTTTTCATCTAAATTTTAGAAATGTAGTTTTTAAATTTTGAGACCTCAAAGAAAAGAAAACAAACATCAGCAATAGTTGCATTTGATTTTAAGACAAGTTCATATGGTATTTGTTTGCCGAATTTATCTTCATATAGCACCGTTATGGGAAAATAACTACTTGCTACTGTTGTGGCAGCTTTTGGTGGTGTTGTAGGATGACGATTAGGCCGACTAAGTTGAGAAAAGAAAAAGAAAAAAAGAAATATTTTTCGATTGAAATATTTTTATCGTACATGGAGTTAGTTGTTGTGGTTGTTGTCGAAGATGTTCGAGCAAGTCCGTTAGACATGGATGTGGCTGTTGCTATCAGGTGGATAGTATTGTCTTTAGGTAAATTGAGACCTTTTAAGATTGTCTAAAATGTTTTTATAAATGTCAGATATTTATTATTAAAAGAAAATAGTCTATGGCTGCAATGAACTTTTGACAGAGATATATGACTTCATTCCAGTAAATCTACTGACTAGAGGAGATAGAAAAAAAAAGTATACTTCTGCTTTCAGTTCAAAAGAAGATTAAATCAGCACTCTATACAATATGACTTCTAGTTAGAAATTAGTTACATTGTGTCAAAATAATTTTCGTTATGTGAACAGCTGTATTCCTCATCATGCCGATAGAGATATCAGAGAGGTTCTAATAAATTCATAAGTCCTCTCTAGAAGTTGCCAATTTTATTACAGCAGTCTATATATTGTCTTTGGGAAAATATCAAAACATACATACATGGTCTTCATAGTGTTTGGAAGTCCAATTATCAAAATTTTGTCGATTTGGTGGAACATGTAATTTATCCGAAATCTTCATTCGTAATTGACCTAAAAATATACATGAACACAAATTAATAAACAACGTAAATCTTTTGAAAAGAAAAAGAATACTTACGAATAGTTTCAGTATCATGTATGACAATCACTTCTGTATGATCCTTGTACTCAATCGTAAAGTTCAGTTCACGAACTAAAACGTAATAATATATATTTAGTCTCATAGATTAGTTTTATGAGTAGCTATTATTTCTACTGTATTTATAGGAATGAACTGATACTGCACTACTTAGTTAGTACTCTCCGAGACGATTGTTCTAACATTTTCAGATAGAAGTTCAATCGTACATTTTGGAAATTTCTATTTTCTAATCTAGATTTCAACCGAGTATGAAACAAAAATTTTAATCTATAATCCCAATTATCATTAGAAAACTTCCCATCAAAACAAAAAGCTATCTAACCTGATCCTCGGCTTGCCGCTCCAGTTGTCGTTTTGATTGTTTTTGGGCCACCTGGTAAACTTCTGATAATACGTGGTTCATCTGAATCATTATTATCATCCGAATCTGAATGGCGTCTAAGATTGCTAGTGACATGATTTGTTTTTTTTACTACTGATGGTGATTTTGTAGTTGTTGAACGATGTGATGAAGCTGCCGTCGCCGCATGTTTAGGTACTGCTGATTCATAGTTCGTCTCACTTCCACCTCCAAGTCGTTCGTGTACTACTTGTACAGCATTCTATTTTATTAATAAAAAATAAAAGATGAATTTCAAAGTATTTTTACTAAATTTAAATATATTTACAAGTAAATTCCATTCGTGTTGTTCAAGAATAGTGATACATTCTTCTACATTCTCCAAGCCTGTACATTCCTAGGGAGAAAAAAAAACAGTTGAGAATACATGAAACAAATGAAATTTTTTAATTATCAAAGAAATTTACCATAAAATTAGCCAGAATCTTATCGCGGGGTTCACTACTCATTTTCAACTTTTGAAGAAAAATAATTAATTAATAAATCTAAAAAACTTTTTATTTTTTAGATGGATTGGCAAAAGTAATTGATTAAAAATAAAAAGAAATTAAACTATCTAAATAAAAAAAACACTGGGTTAGCAAGTAAATATCACGATCAGTACGTAAATATAATTATATATATATAGAAATAGTATTTTAACAATGAATAGAAGATTTCATGGAAATTTCGGTGCTGGACGATCAACAGTTGGTGTTCGTTCATCATCTTCATCGTCAGCATCATCAGAATCTGTACGAAACTGATCGAATACATGCATAAGTTCTTCTTTCGTTGGAGGATTATTGAAAAAGATTTCGGCGGGATCTGTTCGCGCATCCATGCCACTGCTTAATAACCGACGAAATTGAACGTGCTGTCGCGATGATTTCTCATCATATCCAGCATGTGCATACATCGACATTGAACGCGTGTATTCGCGATCATGAGCATGTTTTGATCGATTCAGAATATGTCGAGCTTGAAATAAACTTTCTAACATTTGTCGTTTCGCTTCTTCCTAAGAATAAAGAAAAGCAAATCAGCAGCGGTTTTTTGTTTGTTTGTTACCATCAAACAAAACATTTACTTTTGCTTTTTCGAATTGTCGTTCACTCAAAATAAATTTATCTTTAAATTCCACTAATGATGCAAGAAACTCGTCCAGATTTCGTTGCTTAATCGAACCTTCGATCAAACGATCGAATGAGAAATTGCCATTTATATCACGATAAATACCAATTAATAATGGATATTCATCAACTGAATTCGAATCGAATTGCTTGTTGTGGTTCCATGATGGAAAAATAGTTTGACAAATGTGATTCAACCTTACAAAAGTGAATATTACTTTTTATTAAAAATTAACCATTGTCACAATGTAATTATTCAATCTATAAGTATCGATATAAATTATAGAGGATAATTGACTTGTCCTCGGTATTCATCAACGCACTTATAATCGAAATAAGAAAATATCAAGTTTTCAACGAAATTCTTGACGAATTATAATTTTGTCAAGATTATCTAGTTGAATAGATTGAGATAAATACTGTTTTTCATCTATCTATGAATATTTCCTAGTATTTCATCAGATACCACCTGTCAAGTGACACAAAAGGTTTTATTCATTTGGTTTGAGTCAAATTTAGAAGCTGTTTCCTGTAGTTTTGTGATGCAGTTATTACGTGAAAGTACATTTCCATCCTCTTCCTATTTCCGATGAATCGACATGATGATGAAACATCAAGATTTTGATTATAAACGAAGAAATATGAGACGATTGAAAAAAGAACATTTTCTTACCACAAGAAAAAACGAAAAAAACCTATTTCGAAGGAAACATGGTATTTTCTTTCTTTTTTATCCACGACCAAATAGATTATTCATTGTAATCTTTTTTTTGTGGTCAAATTCTAAATAAGTTAAAATGAATTTTAATAAAATGAAAATGATCATTATACTTCGGATTATTTTTTGATCTTAGATGGTGAAAAGCAAAAGATAACTAACGGAGACTATACCTAGATATTGCTGATTCTATATGCCAGTTACGATAATAGGAAACGGCTGAATAGCAGAAGAAAGAAAACCAGTATAATTGAAGTCATCAGATGCTTTGGTAAAAAGAAAATTCTTTTTTTCTGAACTCCAAGAATGTTCTTTTTCTTCCTTCCTTTTCTGCTTTCAAAAAAAAATGCATTTTTGAATGTGAACTTTTGTTCTTACAAGAAAGTAGTGCGTGGGCCAAAAGAACCCTTCAGGAATATGATACTTTAATAATCTTATAGAGAACAAAATAATGAATACGAAGGTATATAGAAATTTTTTGAAAAAGATAATTTTAAGTGAAATCAATAATAATCTATTACAACAAAAAAGAATACTCAGCATATTTTTCAATATTTTATCAGATCATCAGCTAGACAAAAATAGAATTGTGTATTTTAGAATAGTTTGCTCTAAATTTTAGTATAAAGATCATGATAATAGAATTTATTAGTGCGTTAGTATTTTTCATATCGTATTTAATCATAATGGTTAGTAAAGAAAAATCTATCAGTTCTGTTAGACAAAATAGTTCTTGAAAAATTTTATTTTCCTACGGTATTATTTATAGAAATATCCAAAGTATATTTATAGGAAGAAAACAAATCTTCTTAGAGATTATTATTTGTTATTAAATGTACTTTTTTTCTTATTCTAAATAAGACCATATAAAGATAGATCTTGAAAAGACTTGCTCTTTTTTTATGACCTTGTGCAATCTTAGAAGAAGCAAAAAACTAGGAAGTCAGTTTTCTTTCTGATTCAATAGGATACATTATGAAACTTCTATATATTGTCAGAGTTTCAATTTATTATGATTACGTTTGTGTGTAACAATCGAAATCTTTCGCAGAATAAGTTTTCTTACATCTGTTCGTTTGATTTAAATGTAACATCCCATGCCCAAAGAACATAATTATTCATTAGATAATCAATTATTTTTTCATTGCATAAAAGTTGTTTACAAAATAAATTTGAATACACGCTTTTGTCATTATTAACATAGAGTAAACATGGCCGACGCTAAAGACACAAAATAGAACAAATTAAAATTAATTGTACAATTATCGTACGTCATTAATCTCTTTTGAACCAAAAGATTCTTGTACAGCTTGTTTGAATGTACCCATAAATACGGCTGGATATGCATTGAATCGAAAATCAAGACATTTTATCAGATGCTCAAGGCCTTTTACTTCGTCCTTACAATCATCAGAAACTAGAAAAAGAAAACAATTTTGTATGCTCTTTTTAAAGATGAAGTATTCCTCTTACTTAAATGATCTTCAAACTCTGGTGGTACTTCCATGAGTTCATTGAAAAACTCTTCATCGGTAGTAGAATTATTTTTATCGCTTGCATAATTCGCACCACTCTGTTCAATATCCGATGAATACTTCAAAGAAAAATATCTAATGAATGCTTCAAAAAGATTTTTTTATCCGTAATCACCATATTTTGGTTTTATTTTTTCTTTGTTTTGCTTTGATCTAGAAAAAAAACATGTGACTTATTACAATACATCAATACAGATGCGTTGGTTTTGTTTGTTTTTACTCTATCCATAAATCAAATAAATGAAAAAAGAATCGACATTCAAAAATAACGAAAAGACACTTTGCATTCTTTTTCTTCTTAATAGCACATTAAAAAGAAAAAAGAGATCAGCTACAATTAAGAATGCACTGTTATTTTATTATGTGGCTGTGTTTTTATTCAAAAGTAACCACAAGATCTTCTTTATGAACAATTTTAATTTCATCAATTAATAAACGCGATAATTCATTAGCTGTATGTGCAACAAAATGACATAAATCAGATGATATTGGTCGACTCGAAAGTAACGATGATAGATTTGATGCACCAGCATCTGGTAAAGCAGATATTCGAGTTGATTGTAATGATTTACATAGGATTTGCTTTAAATAATCATTTTGAGCATTCGAATTTTGTATATTCATATTTGTTTGATGCGCACCACCGCCCCAACCTCCAACATCGATTAAGTCGGGTAACATGCGTTCAACAATAATAGCCATCGATGATTCAGCTATTTCAGTGGATGGGAATTTCGCTATAAAAGAATACAAATGTATTAATCAATCACAATCGAAATGCACGAGTTTTGAGAAGAATTAAAATCCGATTTGTGAGACTATTTCATTTTGAATGATGCATGATAGAACAAAAGCAAACTCTGAATTGTTTTCTACACGCATAGTTTTTGTTTAGTGCATTTGCTTTTACAATCGCATCGACCACCTATTGTTAAATTCGATTCAGATATCTTTTTTTATTGCATGTTGACGCTTACATTTGCATTTATACTGTTTATCGTTACGACCACTACGATTATAGTTTCTGTTACATCTCTACTCTTACGTCAATGAAATATATGTTTGTTTGAATTTATTTCTATTCAAATTGAAGTTTTATCTGATTTACACTGAAACTCCTATTCTAATTAAATTATGGAAGTTGTTTCCGTTAAGAAATCTTTGAAACTAAAAAGTAAAGTTTGATTTTCTTAAGTTTATGTTCAAAAATATAAAGTTAATTATTATTTTTTTTAGTTTAGTATTCTATTCAAATTAATATAATTACTCTACAGTTGAATTTACGTATGTAGAATAGATTCGGAAGTATTCCTATTAATTGAATAAACACACACACACACACAGTGATTCAATTTGTACATTTGTTTATAGAACTAATTTTCTAAACAATATAAAAAATCGACTAGTTTTTACTTGGACGATTTCACAATATGATTCAATAATTATACAAAAATGGATTGCGTTCATTTAGAAAAATTAGCATAACATATATCTAATGGCTTAAATGAGCTTCTTCGTATGAATAAGCTAAATACACGTGAAATGATGACTCAGTTTTGCCCCTTATTGGCACATGTCAAATATTAGCATTTATGTTAACTGTAAAAATAGGGTTGTCTATTAAGAACAGGATTTTCCCCTTCTGATAAAATTTCATTCTATGCAATTTTTCGAATTTTTTCTTGCTGACTCATAACGTTAAGTGTTAAATGTCAAATTAATTTTCAAAGGTAAAAACAATGTGTAATATACAAAAATAGAAATTATTTACTCGTTAAATCAGTATGATTATCATTTAACAATCGTGGTGGCGGTGGCGGGGGAACAATGTTTGATAAAAGTGATGATGGTTCTGTAGTTGTTGATGTACTAAGGAGGCCTGTAGGCACCGAAGATTGATATTGATTATGACCGCCGGATTTGTTCAATAATCTATGGAAAAATAAATCGAATTTTTGTTTTCGAAATTTTTAAATAACGAACGGTGTTCGATCATTGGCATCGGGCGATATTAAAGACCGTTGTGAAGTTGATATCGCTGAATGGTCACCATGATTATTGCTCGGTTGCGAATCGTCTGAATTTCTGCACCATGGACAGATATTGCCCATTCTAAATAGTAAATAAAAAACAAGTAAATAATATGATTAGTCAAAATATTGAAAAAAATCAATACAATGAGATTTGTCAAAAAATAAAAAACAAAAATAAAAATAAAAAAGCGAACAGTTGCACGGTACACATTCAAACCAAACTAGGTAGCATAGTAGCCATCGCGTAGCTGTTTATTCCGGATTATACCCGGTTTGAAAGCAGTCAGAGACAAAAAATAATTTATATGTACATAAAATGGAAAGATGTCAGTAGTTGTTCAAGAGCTAGAGAATAGGATTTTGTTTGTTTCACAGTTCACTTGTCGAAAGAGTAGCATGTTTAGTATTATGGATACTGTAATTTGAGGTGTGGAAAATTTTGATTCTTCAGATAAGTCATTATTGAAGAAGAAACTTGAGAATCCCAGTAGGATACGAAAGCGATTTTTAGGGAAAATATGTGATTTGTTTCACTGGGGAAAATGGAAAATATCCCATGATCGTGAATTGAATAATGCATATCTCTCAAATTAGAACAGTAATCCTGGAAGAATTCTCATAGTTCTGTTGAGAGTTCCTCAGCAGATAATAGATATCGCGTTCTCAGACTAAATGAACTATTCTTGATGTGGTCAAAGAAAAACCATTCGATGCACAGAAATTGATAACTCGACATTGAAACGAAGTGTGCAGCTTTACTACAGTGCATCGAAATATTTTTATCTTATCCTATACGAAAATATGCTTGCACGTACAGTTTTTATGTGTTATTGGTATTCAATGTTCTTTTTCTGGGTTATGCGTGCACTAATACTTGACTTTTGTTTGAAATATATATTTATATTCGGCTAGTATCAGCTATCTTGCAGAATCGGGCGGTTTCTTCTATAGCATATATTTCTATTTTGTGGTGAAGATAAAATATTTATTAACTCATTATCAATCTCTCTATTGCTTGTTGTACTACAAAACATTAAATCCTCTTGAAATTTTGAATAAAAATAAAATAAAATAATATCAAAAACAAAAAAATCATGTTTTACATCATCAAGCTCTCGAGACATACTTTTATTTCTACGTATTTTATTCACAGTGGGATTCAAAAAGATTGTGTTTTATACACAAATATTAAATTGCTCTTATCTATTGAATATGATAATAAAGTAAACCATATAGATGAATCTAAAATCCAGAATTCATTTATTCTCGTATAATGCAGTACACAGTCTGAATAAATTTTCAATATTATGCATTCTTATAATGAATTTTATTTTATCCATCACATATGCTAATATCACTCCTACTCGTACTGACACGCCACAAAATCAGAATTTATTATTCAAGAGTTCCATTATCTAAAGAATCAAGGTCGAAAACAAGAAAGATCTGCGTACATCAGTTCTACCGAAAGTTTGTCTTGCAAAGAAAAAAGACGTTTCTCTTCTTATCTCTTATCTTTATAGTTGTGTTATTATTTCAGATATTTTTAAGAACTATTCTCTAGAAAAGAATGAACAAGTGTTCATTAGAAACAAAATATTTTCTGCAATGAACGACATCTGTTCGATTTCTTAAATACATTAAATATGAAGAGGTATCATCTTGACGTTGGGACCCATAATGGTGATTATGAACAAAATGTGATATAGTCATTCTAATTTATAAATCCATAGAGTCAATATGTCATATCGTCCATCATCTGCTCGTCGTCAACAAACGAGCATCAATCCCATCACGGGTGAAAAAATTGAGTATGCCAAAAAAGCTCATGCTCTAAATGATCAAGCGGCACCTATGTATGTAGATTCATTGAGATATGTTCAGTTATTTTTTGATGTCAATTTAATTTGTAGTATTCCATCGTTAGATCTTACTAATGTAAATGATAGTGATCGACAACCACCACCTTCAGCCCACCAATATCAAGGATCTGCAAGGTAATATTTAGAAGAAAATTCTAAAATAAAATGCATACATTTTTCTCTTATAGACCAGGATCTGCACGCTTAGGTTCGTATCGACCAACAAGTCAAGCCTATGGAAATTTTGATCATCAGAAAGCAATCTATACGAATCGTCATGGAAATATATTGGTATGAATCAACATTTTTATTCAATCTATTTTATGAAGCATGATTTTATCCTAAAAACAAGAGAAATTGTAGCATGAGATGACAGACATACAACTGTTTGTGGATATTTGATAACACAAATCATTTTCTCTTTAGCAAAATACTCAGTTTGATCTCAATCCTGACCGTGTACCCGCAATGGATATACAAGTGGTACCTCCTCCACCGCCACGGCCTATGTCATCTCGTACTCAACGAGCTTTATCAACTCGTTTACCTGATTCCGTTCGACCAGCAATAATATTAGATGGAATTTCAGGGTTAAGTCATCGTGAACGATCTCTTTCATCAATTAATTCACCCATTGATGAATTTCAATTAGCTTGGTTAGAAAGTGGAAATTATCAAGATTCTTTACAGAAAGTAGCTGCTGATGAAAAAAATGAACAACGAAAACATGAACTAATGACTGAACAAGTTTTATCTGATCAACTATCTCGTTATGTATTAAGTGATGTTGAACAAGAAGAAGATCGTCATAAGCCAATGATTATGCAACAACAACCAAGACGAAATCTCGATAGACGCATGCATGAAACAAAGTAGCAACTTGATTTAAAAACGTGAAACATTCCTGTTGTTCTTCATTTTCGGTTTATATTCTAGAGTTAAAACAAGTACGTCATTAACAGAAAATTTACTTAGTAAACGTATACGTTTTTCATGTCGTATTGTAACGAGGTTAGAAAAATATTAAACTTTTCGTAATATTTCATCTTTATTTATATTTTATAGAGATGGCAAAGATGCATTAAGAGATTTATTTGGTTTTTATTTTATGCTGGATCGAACATTGGCTATTTACGAATATCGAGTTTTAGGCAAAAGGTATCGACTAACTTAAGAATGATTCATAAATAATTAGACAGAAAAAGAAATATTCAATATTTTCAATTTGATTTAATATTCGTTTTGTTTTTGATGACTGACGGACTCGTCAACCCCGTCTGATTACAAAAAGAAACTGTCAATTACATATTTTGTAGAAATAATATTGTTAATCTGAATAAAAACAATGAACTATTATCTGAAATATTTTAGTTATTCGTTAACCTAGGCATGCAACATAGATAGTATAACTTAGAAATGTAAGTCAATGAAGTTAGTAGTCCAAGCGTGTTCTCGTAAATTAAAAGACCGGTATGATCTATTATAACGTCTCCTATTGTGAGTTTCATAAGTGTAAGAATGACAAACGTTGACGACTCAATGAATTTCTTGACTGAATGCGATTATTCACACTGGTAACCTCATCAAGTACCATTAAGGATGAACAAACTGTATATTATTTGCATAATAAAACATTGACTGGGGCGGATGCTCGTTCTTGACATACGTCTTATATAGATTCATAATGAGAGAAACTATCTTATATCTTAGTTTCGCTTCAACTCAATGTATAAGGCCCACAATAACCTCGATTTCTATATGATGCACGAACATCTACAGATTTGTTTTTTTAAGAACGACCGAAATCACTTAGGAATACTGTCGACCGTTCTTGTATTTCTCTGCACAGCTCATTAGTACTCCTTGAAAACAGTAATCTTCGACGGATGTTTCTCACCAATAGAAATTCTAATAAGTATTCTGTCATTAAGATGGAAAAGCAACAGTGCGATGCATAAAAATATTGTCTATTTTTCTTTTGTAGCTATTTATAAATGTTTGCTTTTCAATATATACTTTGTGTTGTAGGTCAAATGCACTACCATTAATTCCTCGTGGCCAATATGTTCATCTATCGGGCTATAATCAACGACAACCATATACTTTGCTTGATTTCTATCAAGTATTTATTGCAAAAAAACGTTTTTTCTTTATAATTTGCTTGTCAACTTTTAACTGTAATTAGGGAGCTCGAATTGATTTTGAAACACGCACAATTATGTCCTTACCAGAAACTGTTCGTCATCAAACAAAGCTAACAATTTCTATTATTTTAATCGATGAACAAGAACGACAAACATTATTGTAAATTTCTTTTTCTTCTAAACCGTTGAAGACAACATAGCTATTTAACCATTACTATCTCTCTCTCTCTTTCTAGACTTGATGGTGTACAAGATCTAAAACGTCGAGAAGTTCTTTATGCTGTAAAACATCCATATAGTACAGAACAACTTGAAAATCAAAGATATTTAGCTGATGTTCATCAACTTTCAAAATCACAAATAAAACAACGTACATTAGTTGTTTATACAAATCTAGCTGCATATTATCGTCGACGAGCAAATATGGATCGCTATCAAGAAAAAGATTCAATTTGTATATGCGAAAAAGAAGATCTATTAGCTGGATTACATGAATATAAAATACATATAAGTGCTGGAGTAAGTTTATCAAAGAAAACTATTTAATTTCTATCTTTATCATTTTATTCTAATAGCATTTTTCTTATGTTTGGTCTCATATGTCAATACAAGGCGAAGCAAATGAATTTCTTACTTTACTGTTCGGAGAAATAAATGAAAAACGTTTTGCACAAGTGATAAAAGTAAAGTCAACAAGAAAAAACCAATCTATTTAACATCTAGACAGTTATTTTTGTTTGTCTTAGGCTTATTCAAAAATAGATCCATCTAAAACAGGTTATACAAATATTGATACGATGAAAAAATTTGTTAATCTTTATGGACATCCATATGGAATTCAAAGTAAAATTAATATCTGGAACTATGGAAAAATGCTTATTTTGTTGTTTTAAATTTAGATCATTTATCTGATGAACAATTATGGACACGTTTCTGTGATACGTTTCGTTTTGCTTTGGACTATCCGCGTATATCCTATTCAGAATTTCTTAATGTTTATGAAGCACTTAATATTGCCGTTGATCAAGATGATGATTTTATTCATCTTATTAATAATACATGGCATATTTAAGAAATTCTATTCATGTTTTAATTGTTAGTAATATTTAGGTGTATTTGTATGTGATTTGTTATACACAATAAACTCGATAAGATCATACTACTGGTTAGTTTGGAATTTTAAGAAATTTTAATGAGATTTCATTAGATTTTCATACATATTGAAAGTTTGAACTTCTAATAGTAGAAATGCTTTACTAGAATTCATAAAGTGCCATTAAATTACGATTATAGATTAATAATCTATGTGAAGTGTATGATTACTTAGAAAAATTGTACTCTTTAACAGTGAAGACTTAAAAGTCTACATTGGAGATGATTCAAATGTAATTTTAGTAAGTAATTCTATCTATATCTACTAGAGCATCTTTTATTTCACAAAAGTGATAATTTCATTCTTGTGAAATCAAAGCTTCTAATACGACTCATATGATTATGCTCATGTAAAGATTTTCAAAAAGACACGATATAAATTTATTATAGTAGCTTATTGAAATATCATGAATGTCAAAAGAATCTTCATACATCATTTAAATCGTTTAATGTGCACGACATAGAGTAGTAGAAAACGTTTTGAAGAGAAAACGGTCATGTAGTAAAAACAAAGTAGCTCTAAAAATCTGTCCTAACAAATAATATCTAACTTGTTTTGTCGTTGATCTGATCGTACTTGATTGCCTATATTATGTAAATTTGTAGTCGAACTATTTTGTACAAAATCAATGGCTGTATTTGACAGGTTGTAAATACCTTTCTCTACCAATTAGTCTAGTTGTATGGTGAAAATATTTTCGAAGATGTTCAAAGAAAAATATCAGTGGAATTTCTTTGCAAGCTGTTTTTTCTCATTAGTGATAACAGCAGAAATCTTGTGGAAGCTGGGAGCTCAACATTTTCTTCTTTCTTCCTACGTGCTATGGTTCTTTCGTAAAATGTATGTTGAAAAAACATTACACACACGTATTACGATACAAAAGAGACATAAATTATATATGCCTGCATGCATGCGTTGCTTTTGATTTTTAACATGATTGTTCTTTAAGAAATATTTATTTTTCAGAAAGAGCAAAGCATGATTATTTATTAATATCAAATGGAATTTTCTATTTGAGCTTTCACGAAAGGGTCATCAATGCGTTTGACTAAGTGTGCTCAGTGTTACTTGACACTAGAGCAATAGTAGACAGTAAAAACTCAAAATATATTAAATGATTGTTCATGCTGTCAAAGACAGAGACTAGTGCGTAGAGTATTTTTTCAAGGCTAGAGTATATACTTACTTTGATGAGAAAATTAGCTTTGTTAACTCTGAAAATGTTCATGACAAAAATTCATTTACTACAGATAGATTTCATTGACTTAATCTCTTTAAAAAAGATGTCCAGTCGTTCTAATAGTTTTATAAATGATGTGTAAATTAAAAATAAAAATAACCAAGCTTACAAGTTTTATTTTACTAACTGATAAATTATAAGTGATACACTAAGAAAACAGCAACAGAGAGCTAATTTTCAATCATTATGTTCTTCTTCTTCTTCTTTTTTCTCCATATTTGATTCCACCACAGTCGATGGTTTTTCTTCCTTTTCTTCTACTGGACCTGGTTTTGATATACAGGAATCTTTTGAACATTTGCATCTTTCATCAACAGCTATACCATTCAATGCTTGTTCAATATGTTTACCACAGCCTTTCCATGTTGGTTTACCACATTCAGCACAATCCACTTTCATACACATCGTTTGTTTCTTCTATTGAAATGTAATGATGCGAGAATATAAAATAAATGAATCGATGGTTACACAATACTTTCTTTTGTATGATGAAACGACCTTTACAAACTAATAATAGTAAATTTTGTTTTTTTCCCTAGTAAAGACAAAGCTGTGCACTCATAGTCTAAAGATCAATATTATTGAGTAGAGTGAATAATCGCATAGGATGTCCTTGTAAAGATGACTAATGTAGATAGAAGATTTTCCAATGAAATGAATTTTCGCGCTCTTATATTATAATTCATAAAATGCCAAGAACCTATCTTCAAACGACTCAATATGAACAATTATCGAATATTCGTCGTTGGCAAATTCATGCCGGCTCAAATCATTTTTGTTTCAATGGGCATTGCATTACTGGAAGAAATCTTTCCGGTGCTATTATTGTCATCTGTCTTATTTCTTTAACAAGTGTAGTTTGGCTAGTTTTTGAACTACCTATTCTTATGAAAGAATTTAATAATAGTAGTCTATGGATTTTAATTGTTGGTTGTCTTTTAATTTTGTATACATATAGTGAGCTGAGAAATAATGAAAACAAAATATCACGTTTTCTATTGTTTAGTTTATTTCTTTCGTTCGATGTGTACTGATCCAGGTATCATACAACGTCCATCATCAATAGAACGCACAATTTTAAGAAGAAAGTTAAATTTAGATAAAATCAAACCAAATGATTTGAATAATCTTATGTACGATATTAAAATAAATAATATTCTAATTAAATGTAAATATTGTGTAACATGCCAAATGATTCGACCGCCACGTTCATCACATTGTGCTATTTGTTCAAATTGTATTTCTATACTTGATCATCATTGTCCATTTTTAAGTACATGTGTTGGAATGAGAAATTATCGTTTCTTTATTTTGTTTCTTATTTTTCTATTACAAACACAATTGTTTTTATTTGCAACAAGTTTGATAAAAGTATTGATTTTTTTACAAATATTTCTAAATTTATATACTAAAAATAACAAACTTTCGTTGATGTTAGATTTTAATCTATACTAATGATCGATTATTTTCACAATCGATTATACCATCAATTCCATCGTATTTTATTTTAATTATAACGGCTTGTAGTGCCCTATATACATGTAATCTATTAGGGTATCAGTGTATGATATCAAGTCGTGGTTTAACAACTCGTGAAGACGACAAAGGAATTTATATGAATGAAAATCCTTTCAATACCAATTCTTGGCTTATTAATTTAACAAGAAAATTATGTACATCATTACCTCCTAGTGCTTGTAAGTATACGAGAAAATCTTGTAATTAGAAACCATATTTTTCTTAGATGGAGCGCATCGTTTAGTTAATCAGGCAGAATATCGATTAATTAAAGACAATGTTTAATAGAATTAAATTAAAAAGTATCATAACATATATATATATATCACTGTACAAGTATTCAAATGGTTTGATTAAAGCCAATCTAAATCTGGTATGCCAGCATACGAAAAATTTTGATCATCCTTCCATGCTCAATAAACAATACGTACATGATAGAAACACCAGAAAGGAAAACAAGTGAACCAATCAGTATTAATGGTCATGAACGATCCGAATTCTTCAAAACAAAACTATCAGAAACGAGAATGTAAAGCTTTGATGAATACGATCTGGTGTTTGAATATAACCAGTTAATATTAATGAGCCTAATGTAATTATTACTGAGCCAAGAATAAAGAGAGCAGCTGCTAAATCTATAGCATAAATAGGAACTTAAGCTGCTGATTCTTCAAACTAAAATCAATAAAAATAACAGTTTACTATTTTAAATTCAAGAAATTTTTTGAACGAGTCGAAAAACAAGTTAGAGAAATACTTTTGTTAAATGATATTTTGGGAACAGTTTTTAAATAAGAAGAATCTATTCTCAAAAGAAAAGACATGAACTACGTACTGTTTTTCTATTCCTTCAAGAGAATAATATTTTGATACGACATTATCATTACATTTTTGTTTGAAAATATTTCTAGAAGCGTAATAGTAAATTTATTAAAATCATGATAGTATTAATAAAAAAAGTTGAATTAAACTTTATTCTCTATAACAGCTGGTCAAAAAAATAATATATACATGTAATCGATTGTTGTATCAATTTATATCTGGTTATTTTCATCTAAGCAAATGATAAATGCAGTTATGCGTTGAAGAATAATAAATATTTTCTTGCTGTCTCGTTTCTTTAATCATTATTTTATTATGATTATGTTTGTCTTACCTCGTGGGATTTTTGAAACGCTAGAAGAAGAAGAACAAAAAAAACGAAGAATAATAAAGTCTATTCGCCGTGGGAATATAAGAATCACCAAGAAAAATTACCATATGAAAATTTTTTTTCTCAGATTAAAAAAGTTGATTTCACTTTTTTTTGTGTATCTTCATCGTTCCGAATTTGTTCTTCTTTTTTTCTTCTAATTTAATATTAGAAGAGGATATGGTTTGTGTTCGTGTTGATCGTAGATACATCTGAAGAAACACAAGCGTAAAACTCAATTATATATATATATATATATATATATGTATATAGTTCTGTATATAATTAGAAAAAATTCATTCTTCTGATTGCCAACAACTACTACACATACAATAAAAACTAGCCAACGAAATAGAAGAACAAAAAAGAAATTTAAAATTAGAATAAAAACAAACTGTTGTGTGCGTGTGTATCACATCACAACTAAAAAAAAAGATAGATATTTGGCTTTTCTCGAGATAAAATATGACGTATTATTTGTTTGACTAGTAAATAGAATAGAAAAAAATACAACTAAAACACTACACGCATACAAACAGAAGAAAAAAAGAGAGTTTGTTTCTCGGAAACAACATACAATAAATATCTGACAGCGGGAGGAGGAGGATCAGAGGACACAAAAAGCGATCATTTTTCTCTTATATTAATGACTATGTTTTACATGAGCATACAACTTCGTTTTTCACTGCGTTGTTTTGCACTTTGACTGCGATTATCTCTAAACGATGAGGATTTATTTCCGCCAGTACTTGCGCCACTACCACTGCTTTTATTTTTTCGGCCTTTACGATCTTTACGCGTGCGTTCCTTCTGAAAAAGAAATAAATTAGTTTCTCGGGAAATCTTAGAAAATTGTGACTCACATATTTTCGAATTTCTCGCACGAGAGTATAGAATGCTTCTTCGACACCTTGCCGAGTTTTCGCTGATGTTTGTACAAATGGCATCGATAATGATGCGGCAAAGTCTTTCGCATACGATAAATCAATAGTACGTGTAGGTAAATCAATTTTATTTCCCACCACTAATTAAGATTAAAATTCATTTGATGAGTTAAATTTTCCTTTTTTTTCTTCTTTATTCAATAATACTTACAAACCATAGGAATATCATCAGCATCTTTAACACGTTTTATCTGTTCACGATACTGTTTTATTTCTTCAAATGATTTTGCGCTATTAACTGCAAACACGCATAGGAATCCTTCACCGCCACGCATATATTGGTCACGCATGGCACTAAAATTACGGAAGTATTTATTTAATGTAATTTGACAAGTTAACCGTTCAACCTATATTCTTCTTGTCCGGCAGTATCCTATGCGTAAAAAGCGAAAGTAACATACTCAATAAATTTCATTAGTTAATTTGTATACATACAAGTATATCTAGTAGACAAGTTTCACCATCAACAACAGCTTGTTTTCGATAAGAATCCTCTAAAATTTTCATTCATAAAAAAGCCGTGAAAATACAAATAAAGAATTATTTTTAATACCGATTGTTGGATCGTATTCGTCAATAAAGCTATAAAATAAATAAAATCAATAATAATAATAGAAATCAAAATATTGTTTTTTTCTTCCTCATTTCACACGCACATCCGCACACTGATTGATGTTATGCGTGTGTGAATGAGGATGTTCAGGTTCTAAGCAGGCACTAAATATTGTTTCAAAACTTACTGATTTTGAATCAATTGAATTGTCAATGCGCTCTTGCCCACGCCGCCAGCTTATGTAACAAAAAGAAAAAGAAAAACAATAAATTTATAATAATTCAATTTAATAGTTATCTTATTTACCTCCGACGACGACGAGCTTATATTCAGTCATGACTTGTCCTCGTGTTTTCCCTTATTATTACTTTTTTTTGTTTAATACAAGTTATATTGAGAAGTGTGTACTACTAAATGCAAGGTTTATGGCAATCTTTATATATATATATATATATGTGAGAAAGAAAGAACGAGAATAAAATGATGATGCACTAGTAGTTCTGTTTCCCGAAAGAATAAAAAAAAACGCGATAGTTTTATTCAAGTAACAGTAAAAAACTACCCTAGACAGACTTCGCTATGTGCACTACTATTTATTAGAATAGGATAGTAGCACTCACTACACATTGGTTCATATGATCGAGTGATTAAAAAATAAGTTCTCTATAGAGGGCATTTCAACACAGACTGTATGAGTAGTGTTGAATGCAGAAGTCAGATGTGCGTGAAATAGACTATTTTTGGTATGCAAACTGTTTCACAAATTATTTTAAAAAAAAGTAGAATGTACTTACTAGATTTTACTGAAGTGAATAACACCGTGCTTTCGAAATCATTCTGTGCATCATGTAACGAAAAAACAGAAAACACAACAAATTCAATTAGATCCATATGTTTTTCTATAGATTTCATGTAATTTTTTTTCCTGCTATCTTCTAATCTCTCCTTGATTAGATCAGGGTAAAAAAATGAATCAGTACTTTTTTTTCCGCTTATAATCCTATTTGATCATCGATAGATACTTTTTCTTATCGAATGCAACAGAAGTTGTGATAGAACAGTGTTTTTGTTATTACTTGAAATAATGTTAGTTTATTATTCTGCGTTTTGATACAATCTGTTGACAAGAAACAAATGATGTAAATGCACAGCTCTTTGGTATCAACAAAATACAAACGAATATTTGATTTTCACTACCTAGGAAAAAAGTCGTTTTTCTTTTGACATGCTCTACACAATGAGGTTAATTTAATAGAATTATACTAGAAAAGTCAATGTAGACGTCATTCAAAGGAATATTTAAAAAACTCCGCTTTTAATTAATTTTGTTCTTTGTTTTTACAAGTACCTAAGTACTAATCAATTTTTTCTTTTTTAAAGAAAAACCATCTTCATGTAAGTAACCTATGTCTGATCAAAATGCCGATTAAATACTATTCAAGTTTTTTCTTCTTCCTTTCTTTGCGATTAAACCATGTAGAATTAATATTTCATAAACTCGCATAGACTGAAATTCAGTATAATTATCTCGGCAAGATTCTTCGTACGATGTAATTTTTCATGGATTAAAGAGGTCGATTTCTTTTGTCTTTGGAAAATAGCTTCCACAACACTTTCAAACATTTCCATTATACAATATAATAAATGCTGCTAAACTTCATGCATAATATTAAACTAGTTTTCATGTGCTTTCCTCTTTTTAATCTTTTAAAGGTTGCCTTCAAAATCAGCAATTATTTCTATTAATAAATTTCAATAGATTTCACAGTAAGAGATCATATTTGATTGATGGAAAAAAAAATATAGTCGTTTCTATTATGGAAAAACTACTTATCAATGCTTCATAATTATAAATGATGTCAGACCTGTTAAAGTGATGTTTATAGAAAATGTGCATATCTTTCATGTGAACATGAACTTATCTTAATTGTTCAACATTTTTTTTCTCATATGACGTCATCCGTTCTCTTAAACTCTTCATTGTGAATGTACTGATGTGTTCCTTTTAAAATCTTTTCCTGCTACATATCATATGTTTTTTATGTATTATGAAAACATATATTTTCTACATGATCCGACTAGTCTCTATGCACAGAAACTGATTACATCATGGCGTGAGCTGCTTTTAGCAACAAATCAATTACATTAATGAATCAATGGGAATCTAAGATAATTAGTATTGACGTCACATCAACAATAGCCTGGCTTCGCAGCAGTCCTATATATCCTGTATTTCCTATATTTTAAAAATTTATCCTATAATAGACTATATTTTGAGCTTTTTTCCTATATTCCTATTTTTTTTTTGAAAAAATTGAAGATTCTTCTAAAAAAATTCAAAAAACTCCTGATAAGTGTTCAACACATCATTTAAATATTGTCAGTAACAGTTTGTATGGCTCTTATTTCCTATTGGTTCATCTAGATAATGTATATAGTATACTCTTTGCATTAGTTGTCTTTGTATCAGTGTTTTATCCAGAATTTNTAACCGTGTTCTATAATTTTCTTTGTCATCCTATATTTTTCCTATATAGTTGAGGGCGATCCTATATATTTTAGACCTATCCTATATAGGAATTCCTATATTTTTTGAGAGAGCCGCTGCGATGCCAGACAATAGCAGGCAGAACGACATGATAGAATTTAAAAAGAATCTAATTGCGAAATTACAGAAAAATATTCTTCGATTCATAACATTTAAATTAATTAGGACTTGCATGAAAGTATATATTTTGAAATAGTTAGAAAACTTTCATTCGATATGACATTTTTATAAATTGAACTATGACAAAAATGGATGGATGCCAAAGAAAATTATAGAACACGGTTAGCAACAAACATCTGACATAACGCTGGTATAGGACGAGCAGTCGGCATATCTGGTAATGTTCCAGCACTGCCAGCAATATCAAGATGCGTATAACTCAATGGTTTCTCTGAATCACGGCCATGTTTATCAAGACCAGATGCTCGAGTCAAAAATGCAGCAGGATATTGATGACCACGAGATGTAGCTTTACTTGATTTTGAATTACATTGTAATATATCAGCTACTTCACTTTTATCTTTAATAAAATCATAATCCTAAATAATATTCGTATTTTAATTTATAAAATATAATTGATTATATCAAACAAACTTCTCGTCGAACAGTGGAAACTTCAAATGGATCACCAACTTCTTCACCAATCTCTTGCAGTTTTTGAGCTATCTTATTGTCTCGTGCTGGCCCATTATCCATCACTGCCTTGAAAACACAATATTTCACATAATTCTGTATTTGAACAAAATTTATTCTATTGTTTTCTTTACCGTATATTTATCTCCATATGTTCGAGCAGCATGTCCAGTTAGTGTCGCTATAGTAAACAATTGTGGATTAATTTCTTTGAGAGCTAACTCTTTCATGTAACACAATGAATCAGCCATAACTAATCGACCTGAATTATATATATATATATATATATATTATAATCACCTAAACATAACACTTTTTGTTTTGCTTACCTTCTGCATCTGTATTTCCAACACGAATACTTACACCAGCTCTTGATTTTAAAATTTCATCTGTTGCATAACTTTCTTCGCCACAATTATTACGAGTCAAAGCCATAACGCCAATAGCTTTGAATTGTTTTGGTTTTAATTCGGAAAGAATTTTAAAAAAGCCAGCTACATCTGCAGCACCACATTTATCATAAGACATGCTTACCTGATACAAAATAAAAGCATTCATTCTAAAACAATTTTACTATAAATCACCGTAATTCTACTTACCATATTTCCACCAGCTAAAAAGAGAAAAATATAAAGTAAATTTCAAATCGAAAACTAAAAAATTCGACATACTTTTTATGTCAAGACCACCTGTATCATAAGTAACGCCTTTGCCAACAACTAGGAGAGTTGAATTAATATCACCTTGGCCTTGATATTCAAGAAAAATTAATCGACCCTGATGGCGCTCAACATCTAAAAAGAATAAATAACTTCTAGTCAACTTTTAAATTTATTACGAATACAAACTGATTGATGCTCGGTTAACAGCAGCAAATAGAGGAAAATTTTTTTCAAATTCTTCCTTATCTTTTATTATATTCATCTAAACATAGTTTTGACATTTCATATGCCCGCACGCTGCATAAATAAATTATTTACTTTGATGCCAGAAGATTCATTAAATAGATTTTGTACATATTCAGCAGCACGTGGTGGCGCCATACGTTCAGGATCTGCTCCGCCAATATCTCTTGCAACAAAACGTCCCATTTCAACAGCTCGAACATAGTTTACTAATTTTTCACTATAACTACTATCGAACGATGTTGGACCAATGAAAACACCTAATCGTTCAACTTTAGTCTTTTTGTCAGGTTTATGTTCTCGAACTTGTAATGGCTAAAGTTTGAATTGAAAATCAGCCGAGAAAAATGTTTTTTTTATCTACCACATAAGTTGTTTCAAGTGCAGATAGTAAGGATACTAAATGTGCTTGTTGATATAGTTTTGAACCAAAACTTGCTATGAGAGGTGCTTTAGCACCGAGTGATAATGCTTTTTTCATTCCTGATGATGCTGCATCCGTAAAACGACGTACATCATCATAATCTCGATTGAACTTGCCTGTTGGTGAATAAATCTAATATCAGAAAACAAGAAGAAATCCTTTTTTTTCTTTATCTTCTTCAATGATTAAATACTGACAAGTCGTTTGCCTGGAACATTATCATTAATCAATAGTGTAGGTTCTTTATCAAAGTTTTTGTTTAACTAAAATGAAAGAAAATGAAAGAATAAATCTGTAGCTATGTCAAAGCTAACTTCAGTAAATGTTTGAAGATCTTTTGTTACTGAACTATGAACATGGTCTTTGATTTGATCTAATTCTGTAGCTACAATCACTAGAGCATCATAATCTTTTGTTGGTGAGGAAAGATTTTTCACTAAATTGACATCACTGTAAAAAAAAAATTTAATGATTGCGTTATTATTAGATTTCGAAACAAATCTTATAATCTAACTTACGTTAGAAATCGACGATAAAATATTGATGAATAGGATAAACGTTGAGGCTGTAATAGTAGACGTTGAAACATTATTATTCTATGTTAAGAATAATTAATTATTAATAAGAAAATGTCTGTGAAAATAGTTTATTACAATCTTGAAAAGCGAAATACAATAAAGGACAAGTCAATTTGGTTTATATATCGATGTGTAAATGTATGAATACATTTAAAGATTATAAAAACTTTTTCTTCATTGCTTTTTTTATCTAATTCAAAAAAAATTCTAATCTTAATGACATGAATGGACATACAAGGAGTCTCGGAATATATCGCTGGTTAATATAGCAAAACAAAAAAATAAAAGCAAAGTGCAAATTTATTTAATACAATAGTTTTTCGTTGAAACGTAGAAAAAAAGAACAAATTTATCTTCAAACATATAAATCACGTTTTTAGAATAAATAAATCAATGTTGAACACCTCCTCTAATAAATAAGACGCACAATGAAAAATGTAAATATATGTTATACAATTTCACAAAGGGAAAAGTCGAGAATCTGTGCGCATAGAAATACAAAATGTTATTTAATTAGGGTAAAAATACACGTTGATATTGTTGAATAGGTGTTCGACAAATTGGACATATCTCTCGTTCTGGACTTCCTGATTGCAATTGTTCTGCACACGTATAACATAGGCCTAAATGTGAACATGGTTGAAGACTGTAAAGAACTTCGTTGTCAAAACAAATAACACATTGCAGGCGTTGATTTTGATCATGATTTTGATTTAGATCATTTGCTGGTAGAATAGTTCGTGGTGGTGGCAATCGAGCAATTCGCTCTTGCCTTTTTAAATAATATCGATAGGCTAGATAAGCGGCCGTCAAACCAGCAGCAACACCGAAACTAATAGCTAAAAAGCGAGAAAATTTTAAACGACTTCGACAATCAGATAAAATGTCTTGACGAGATGATCGTGTTAATATTCCACCCCATTTTCCGTGCGGAGTAAGATACCAAACGCCAGATCGTTTTTCAAGACGACCAAGACCAGTTAATGGTGCATGAATTAATAACATTTTTTCTTTTGTTTCAATACCTGTTGAAACTCTTCCAAGAAAAATACCAACAAGTGTGTCTACATTTGAGTTTACATTTGGTTCGACTTGAACATGAGTTACTTCTAACTGATCTTGAATTGTCTTAAACTCTAAAGGTTTATCAATACGAATAAAATTTCCTTTTGATGAGACAAGTCGAAATGGTACATGACGTGTTGAATCAATAATTACACGTTTTGTTTCAGCCCTTTATTACAAAAAAAAACCACACAATAAAGAAAATGTATACTGAAAAACGAGAAATTCTCTTACCAAAGAGTACTCAATTTTTCAATTTTTTTTTCACGCACTATCAATCGATGAATAACACCATTATAATCTGGTACGAATTGAGATTTTAGTACAGAATAGGGCTTTGAATCATTTGATTGTACGAAACCATGTACTGCTGCATAATCAATAGTAGTTGTTAGAGAGGAAAAGTTTTTCAAATCATCTATATCAATATCAGGTGCTACCTAAAATTAAATAAATCTTTACTATTTTTCTTAGATATTAAATTCTAATAAGTATTTTTCTATAAAAAAAAAGGAGATAATACTAGGCAGTTTTAAGGAATAGTTTATTTCTTTGAGATATTTTGCCACGTATTTGCACACAATGATTGAATTTTCTTTTGCTGTTGATTGAAAATAGTAAAAAGTTTTTTTCTTCATCTGATGAATTTCGACTAATATTTAAGCTTCATAATCTAACAAATATGACTAGTGTATCAAATCATGTAAATCTTTCTGGATTATAACGATAGCAAACTGTTCATACTTTATATATTAAATAATACACAACGATTATTTGAATATGACATAAAAGATAATCATAGACGAAAAAGAATTCTATATTAGTTATCAACTTGAGTAAAGTATTTAATGTTTGAGAGTTGATGAAAATAAGAAATAAATTTTTATGGTTCATATTTCTACCTCAAGAACAGCCAAAAATGTATCATTCGCTTTCCACCATCGATAAAATCCATATGTTGCTCCAACTTCTCCGATTACCCAAAGCCAATTCCAATCGATCATTTTCTGGAATACATACAAAGACAAAAGTATTTGTTTTTTCTTCTCGACCAAATGATTCACGTATATTTTTATTCAAAAAGAAAACAACAGAAAAAAACAAATTTTAGTCTGTCTTCTTTATTGAATATTTTTGTCTATTACAACAAGATTTAGACTTGTTTTGTTTTCTATCCGTATTGCGAATGTTCCATATAGTAATAATACTAAAGTCGATTCTGTATCTATCGAAATCTGATGATCATGTTCTAGCTGAAGTGACACGACTCAACATTACCAACAATGGGCAATTTCAGAAGCCCTAATTATTCACTATTGAGCTTTTAGTTTAATTCATAATCTATATGCATATGATAAGAGTGACTAATATAATAGAAACCATATGAGAAGATGTCAATATCAAACCATTGTTTTGTTGCAAATATATCTATTAATGGTGTAATACCTATTTAAATTGAATTATGCTTTTTTAAGGTATTATTTCAACTCATCCAAATAAGTAATTATAGAAATTAACAGCGTATAACCATTGAAAGTTTTTCAGAATAACCCAGCAAGCAAGCAAGCAACAACCAACTAACTGACTGACTGCTTCTCATAATATAATTATTCGTTAAAGATTCATCAATCGAATTGAATTACATAGATGGCATACATAAACGATCAAAGCCTAGGTCATCATTGATACCAAAATTAAATTAGTTTGATAATGAAATTACTGGTTAGTTATAAATTCAGTGACGCTATAAGCTTCAACTGTTTCAAACATATAAAGTGAATCTAACAATACACTAAATAATTTGATTGCATCATCAAAGAATAACGATGTCACAGGGTTCACAGCAGTCTATGTCTCAAAATCAGAAATTCAGGCAGGACACAAATTGAAAAAAAAATCAGGACATTTGCAGACTTGTTTGGATAACGCACTAAGCGATTAAACTTTCACAAAATTGAATAAAATAATGATAACCTATTTTTATAACCACGTGTATTGCTTCGATGAGCCTCACAAATCATGAAGGAAAAATAAAAAATGTGAAGAAATCGCCTTTCGTTGGATGATTGCTTCTAATTCTTTCTTTGTGAAACTCATATATATTTTCGAAGAAAATGGTGAGTGTAAGTTGAATTGTTAGGTTTTTGCGGCTTCCCTGTACCCCACCGAACCCCCTCTACATTACAGACATAAAATATAAAAAAACTAACACTTAGATGCACTAATTCGAAACTTTTTTGGTACAGGTCGATTGCCTATGTTCACTACTACTCACATCAGTGATAAAAATCTAGTTTCACTAATTAAAAATCATTATAATTAGGATTTAACCTCTAATTAATCATCAAAATCTGTCGTTTTTATTATTATAGTCCATAGTTACGACAGTTTTATATATTTTTATTATTACAGACGTTAGCAACTAGTTTATGCTACTATTACACTCGTTCCCTCTACCACGTACAATAAACAGATGAAGATTTCAATCTTTTTTTGTCACACAAATACCGTATCTAGAGCTTTAATCCACTTTAGTTTATATTTACAATTCGCAACTTTTCCATCCACTGAGACGCTTTTATCAAATTTTCGTTTATGAAAAAATATATCAATTTCTCACCTGATAATACGAAAAAATATAAATTTTTCAATAATATTGATAGCTATATCTTAAATACTGTTTAAACTATTATCATTCACAATATTTCTTAATGAAACCACTAAACACTTCAGCATACTGACATATTCTAACCAAAAAGTTTTTTATGCGTTCCCTCTAGTAATATTTCCTATTGATAGATTCTATAAACTTCAAATGTTAAAAAGGTTTTATTATCTTATTTTTGAACAAAATATGATCTCGCTATTCTGAAAAAAATAAAACTTCTATTTGATCAGCATCTAACTGATCGAAATATGTGAGTTCCACATTTTAGCCCCAACGGAGCTGCGCTGAAAAGCTTTTTCGTAAAACTTATCAAATAATTACATCTAGCTATATAAACCTTGAAATATTGATCATAACAAAAGAAAATGTGAAATTCATTTATATTCAGGCCTATTGGTAAAAAATCATAAAATATCAGGACAGAATCAGGAAAATCAGGATATCAAAAAGAAATCAGGAAAGTAGTACTGCTGCGAGACCTGCGATGTTTATTAAATTTCATAAAAAAAACATCAAACGACTTAATTAACATAAGACTGAAAATTACGAATATTTTGTGCGAAAGCGACCCAGGTTGATCAAAACGGACTCGTTTACAGTCTGCTTATCGACGGTAAACGATGTCAAAACGGTATATTTACGGCAGTAAATAGATCGTATTTGCTGGTAATGCCTGGTACAGTAATACGACACCACAAACGGGACTGGATTTTCATGGTTTACGGCTGTTTGTGCTCCATACTCTCATGATCATACGGTCCGTATTACTGCGCCAGATATTACGGCAAACTTTCGACCGGAAAATAGTCGTAAAGTAACCGTAAACGGCCATATACGGGCCGTACTATTCTATCTGGGTAAGCACAAACGAAGAAAGAGGATTGAAATCTTCATTAAATGATAAATCGATTGTATGTACTAATGAGGGCGGACAAAGAACGATCCTGTGTTCTAATGGACAAGGAACAATACATTTTAAAAGTCAAACAATTATTGAATACAGGTAATACATTCAAAAAGATGAATAACACTGACAAGAAAGGTAATGTAAACACTATCGAACATGTTGTAAAAAGCATGGAAGCCAAACTCAACTGTCGCATTGGTGAACTAAAACGACTAAACAGATTTAATGAAGGTGCGCACAATTGGATTAGAGCCGTAGCAACAAGATGTTCTGTACTATTCTGTCAACCAAAAGTTCAAAAAAAGGTATGCCTAATTCATTCAGTGATCTCCACTACAAATAGCTACAATTATAACCTATCCAAATATATGACTGATCTATTAGAAAACGCAAAAGGTAAGTCGACATCTCATATTAAAGACTCGTTCAGTTTCTCAAAACTAATACAACAACAAACACCATCCAAGAACGACTATATGATAAGTCTTGATGTAGAATCTTTATTCACATCAATTCCTGTTCATGAATCAATTGGTTTAGCAATTGAAACTATTTTACAAAAGAAAACAAATGATCCATCAATTACAAAGTTGGATAAAAGAGAATTAAAACAACTATTTGAATTATGTGTAAAAAATATGCCTTTTAGATTTTACAGCGAGTTATATCAACAAATTGATGGAGTGAGCATGAAGTCCTCATTAGCCCCTGTTCTCGCTGATCTTTTTATGACACATATTGAATCGAAATTAAAAGATTTTGAAGATAGTCATAAAATTAAAACATATTATCGTTAGGTTGATGACACCTTCATTGTCATCAATGGTAAACAACAGGATGGAGACAACTTACTAGACTATATCAATTCTCTACATCCCAACATAAAATTTACAGACGAGAAAGAAAAAAATTTTGAAATTTCTTTTTTAGGTGTAAAAATCATTCGAGAAAGAACCAAAATTTCGAAACCCCTATTTTTAGGAAACCAACACATATTGGACAGTTACTATATTGGCACAGCTGCCAAGCAAGAAGCTATAAGATCGGACTGATAAGAACCTTAACTTTCCGTGCGCTTAATATATGTTCATCAAAAATCTTATTTAACGAAGAATGTAAAATTACTGAATCAATGCTTACAAACAACGGATATCCACTCAACTTAGTAAAAAGAAAAATGACAAACACGATCAAACAATTTAATGAAGCAAAAACTAAGTAATAAAAATTTAAAAAACATTATTTATACCTCTCACATATTATGCCTACGAGACTATATTAATGGTAACTAAAATAAAGAACATGATTCATAAAAAATACTCAATGGCAAATGTCGTTTTTGGCTATGGAAAAGGGCTCTCGCTTACAAAACTCTTCTCAAAATATTGGTGTCGTATATAAACTCACATGTATGAAATGTGAAAAAATTTACATCGGTCAAACCCAATTTAATGTTAAATTTCGAATGAACCAGAACAAGAAAGCACTTTATCGATGGAAACAGTGCTGCAGCAGACCACGTTCTCAATAGCAGCGGACATAAAATTAACTTCGATAAATCTGAAATTCTAGCACGAGATATCAACAAGAACAACAGAGAAATAAAAGAAACTCTTCTAACTTTAAAGTAATTACAAATGAAAAAACATTTGAATTAACAAAATCTTCATCGAAACAATTTGCTGATCATTTACCATCACCATTACAATTATATTCTGAATTAGAACGATGGGAAAAAAAATGTAATAATTTGCTTAAAATGGATGATGCCTGGAGAAAGAAAATGGTTAAATGAACTAATTAAGGAGGCAGCCAATATAGTATATTCAAATGTTTGATATTTACTAACTGTTTTAGCTACGTTGCCTGTATCAACAGCTTCTGCTGAAAGAAATTTCAGGCAATTATCACGAATTAAAAGTTACTGTCGGCCTACAGTGACCTAAAATAGATTAAATGGACTTGCTGCTGAATACATCCATAAAGATATCGATATTGATCCAGATGAAATATTAAAATTATATGTGAAAATGTACAATCGTCATCTTGATTTTGGTGTTTCAATTTCAAAACAAATGTGATGAACAGAAACAGAAAATAGATTAAAAATACACCAGGCATATATGGTTAAAATCAGAGTTGTATGTAAATTTTCTTAGAAGAATCTCATTTCATTTTTTTCACCTAATTAAAAAAACTATATTTTTTGTGTGATTGAAACAGCTATAATTTTTGTATAATTGAAAGAATCTCATTTTTTATTTTTATGTGAATAAAAGAACCTCATTAAATGTTTTAGGGTGTTTTTGTTACGTTATCAGTACTTCGTGGAGCTAAAAATATTTTGACTCATCACTAAAAACTTAGCCAATTTTGCCTATCATTTTTTTTTTACTCAAGCAAGCTTTCCCCAGTGGCCTGAGAATCCTGATTACACCGCTCATATAAAACCACACTATGAAAGAGAACGACAACGATATGTCGATATATATGTACATCCAGATCAATATTATGAAATTATGTTTCAAGAAAATATTAAACACGATTTGCTAGAAATCTATGATTAAGACAAGATGAACGACCAAGACAGATGGAAACAAGAACAAATCAACGAATATGAACGTTCCATAGCTATGCAACAGTTATTGGTCCTGGAAGATGAGATTGAACAAACAAACCAGATCGCCACCGCTCAACAATTCCTTCATAAACAAAAGCAAAATAGCAATATACAACAATTAATACAATATGAGCTTTGGGAATAACTTTACCTTCTATATCAACAACTGTGAGAACCATAACCGAAATCAGTTTTCAGAAAACTTACAGTTATCCGCTCACTTATTCAAACATGTACCATATTTTTCCATAACATTGAAAAACAAATCAAGGAAAAAAATTGCAGCACAATATCTCTGTGAATCTATTTCAGATGCATAATTCCGGAAAAAACCTACGAACAAAAGTAGCGATTACAAACAAATCAAACATAAACCGCATCATATAAACAAAAACACAACAATCAATCTTAAATTACACAACAAACAACACCTCAACCTCTATATCAATTGATTCCATGCCCTAGTGAAACATCTTGTAAGTAAGATCTTGGCCAAGATCTTGGGTACAGATAAGTGAACAGATCTTGAAAATTTAGGTACAAGATAATACAGTTATCTTGTACCCAAGATCTTATTATAGATCTTAAGTAAGAATTCATAACATCTTGAATGATGCATTCTGAAAATATGTTTGGTATTTTTTCAATATATTTTAATATTAACTATTCCTGTCCCGAATAGCTCAAGCAAATCAGATGTTGAGATCTGACAGGCTTTAAGTTGGTCCGATATTCGCCAGACCAATTTAGGGTAGTCCTCTCTCGACCATCGATCGAGATCAGCATCCTCTCGATTAATCAATAGTCGAGAAATAGTTTAGAAAAAACTTATTTTGTAAAGTTATGTTTTTGCATGTTCAATCATGTTGCTTATATTCTGTTCTGTATGCATAAAAAAAGGGTGAATGACTAGATAGCCTATCTAAATAGACTAATGATGTCGCTTTCTGTTTTACTCAAGATCTTGTGAGAAGATAATAGTAAAAGAAATCGTTGCCATAATCTTACTAAGATCTGAGGTAAAGCTTTATCAGATAGGACAAGATCTGAACAAGCGAATTATCTTTTAAAGATCTTGATAAGATCTTACCTACCAATCCCAAGATTTCAAGATCTTACTTACAAGATGTTTCACTAGGGTACGATATATCAACATGTCTACTGCCTAACTCTAAAGTGCTGGTTCGCGGTTCACTTGCTTTGGGCTTTTCGAGATCATGAATTCAGATCGGCTGATTGTGCAAAAATATGTTCAGCGAGGATTAACCGGTGGACAAATTTTTCTGCATGTGAAACAACTCAGAATAACACGTAATTGTGTTTATCGTACCATAAGTCTATTGCGTGATACTGGATCAATACAAGATCGTCCTCGATCTGGTCGACCTCGCACGTGTCGGTCCAAAGAACGCATCACAAGAATAAGAGAAAAAATCCGGCGAAATCCTGCAAGGTCCGCAAGAAAGTTAGCAATTGGCGAACATATCGATAATCGATCAATGCGACGAATCTTGCAAATTGATCTCGGTCTTAAACCTTACAAAAAACGTAAATTGCATGAACTATCGGAGAAGCAAACGGTGGCTAGGCTTAAAAGATGTAAAACATTGTTGGTCCAGCACGATTCCGATGATATTCGAAAAATCGTATTCTCGGATGAGAAGTTATTCATCGTCGAACAGAAATATAATCGTCAAAATGATCGAATCTACTCGTTATCAATCGAAGATATTCCTGAAAATATAAGAACCGTGCAGCGGTTTCAGAACCCGAGATCCACCATGGTATGGAGTGCTGTATCCTACAACGGGAAAATCCCATTGAAATTCGTTGAACAGGGCGTTAAAATCAATGCGAAACATTATCAAAATGAAATCTTGACATCCACATTAATGCCAAACATCAGTACGTTGTATTCAGATAATCAATGGATATTCCAGCAAGATTCAGCCCCTGCTCATAAAGCAAAGTCAACACAGCAATGGTTAGTGGAAAGTTGTCCAGATTTTATCAGTTCCGAAGAATGACCACCATCGTCGCCTGATCTTAACCCGTTGGATTTTTCAATATGGGGAACATTAGAAGCGATCGCCAACGCAAAACCCCATCGCAGTTTGGAATCGTTAAAACGCATGTTGGTTCGAGAATGGAATCGGTTGCCGATGGACATAGTGCGTGCCGCCATCGACACCTGGCGAAGACGATTAGCATTAGCTGTGAAGCACAAGGGAGGTCGTTTTGAGTGATCTTTTCGTTACTATATTCTATGTACGTGAGACATGTATTATACAAAGTTTCGTCTATTTTTGTTGCATACTTGTGAAATAAAACTATTTAGACCATGTATCAGAACTTTTGCCTCACCCTGTATATATATATATATATATATATAAAAGGAAAGAAATCAACTGTTCTTCTTTGAAAAAATCTACATTATGATTTTATCAAGCATCATTTTGATATAATTAATGTTGATATAGGACTTCGAGTACTTAACCCTCGAATACGAGTACGAGTACTTCGAGTATTTCGCCCAGCTCTGATGTTTACTCGTCATCAATTTATTTGTTCTTATAATAAACGTCTATTTCGGTAAACAAAATTTTTTTTTCTTCCACATGTTTCGTTTTGATCATCTATTTCTATTTTTGTTTTCTTGTTATACTTGTTATTGTTACATATCATGTTATATAAATACATATATCTGAATATATGCATTATGTTCTTCGTTTCTTTTCTGTTACTGATATTACTGTTTTGCTTTTGTTACAAGTTTATTTTCATTTTGTTATGGTTATCATATGTAAAACTTTTTCATTTCATGTAAAACTTTTTCCTACGGGGTAGGGTGTCATGCTAGGACATCTATATCCTATTGAGGTGGTGTCCTTCTCTCATTTTCTTCTCTTTGGAATATAGTTATTGGTGTTCTGGTTTATTCTTTCGAACAGTCAGTTAATAAAAGTGGTTATCTTCTACTTGATATGAAATATGATGCCTTTTTGATTAAGTATATTTAAAGTAGATCTTAACAGATAACCTTGGGGAAATACCCATAGATTCGAATGCGAGGGATGAGATTTAATTTATTTTATTGAAATTGATTAGCCCAACATTGTGTTGTGATCTGTGTATGTACACACAGATCATTAGCATCATCTACCTCGATAGCGATATCTTTCTTTCTCCTATTGTCCTATACGCATTGTGTATTCTTTATCTCATTGTAGATAATTGAATACGAGTCTATCTGTCCCTATTGTTGTTTTCAGTTCTCATGTATTATTGTTAAAGTGTATGTTATCGAACCTGCTAATAAAGAAGTGAAAGTACACCTTAACACATTGATTTTTCTGTTTGTGCATACGATATACATAAATGGAAAAAAATTGTTGAAGTTGATGAATTCGAGGTACCAGTTTTTGACCTAATCGATCTCGAACGATTAAGATAATCCGATCTGGTGAAGAAAGTGATCGAATATATTTTTCACATTGATCACTTTGCTCGAATGTTTCCAAGTGATTGATTGATGATCACAGTTTTTGTTGTGCATCGATATTTTCTTGAGAGTTGACCGAAACGTCAAGCCAAAGTAGAGAATATGTTTCAAGATTGTTGTAGTAGTATCGTGTATTCAATGTTGTCTCCTTTGATGTAGATGATTGAAGAGCGACAGTCATCGATCAAATTTTTTCTTGTTCGTTCGCTTCACAATGAGTAATGAAAGTGGCAGCGAAAAACACAATTTTGATTATCTTTATAAGCATTTCAAACATCTTTTTTTCTCCCATTGATGTAGTAACGTTATTTAATTGAAATCTTAGATAAGAACATATAATTTGTAATTCGAGCCATATTCTAGGCTAACTGGGAGTGAAGTAAATAGTATCGAGAATCACATAATATATGTGAATGTGTGTGTTCATTGATGATGAAGAAAAAAGACAATTTTTTCCGTTAGAACGCAGGTTGTGGGTGTGGAGCGTGTGAGTAAAGACAAGCTACATACCCACACCTTTCTTGTTTTTCGACCACGTTTCCATTATCTTTTCTAATTTACTTGACGAGACGAGGAAAAAATGATACCGTACAACTTCCGTATTTTTTTCTTAGCAAGGCGAAAAATAAATCCTACCATCTTTATTCTTATACCGTTCTTTTCTTCTAGATTATACAGCATTCAGTTATAGAATATATGTAAACATTGTTTACTATTCGACTGAAGAAAATTTAGATCAATCAATCAATCTTCTTTTCTAGTTTCATCGACAACGATTTATCATGATTAAATGAATGAACAGTTTGATTTTCGTGCTTTATTACTCAGAATACAAGATCTTCTATCAGAAAATGATCGACATCGTCTACATTTTCTACTTGGTGAAGATGTTCCAAGATATTTGCGTGATGATTTTTCGTTTAGTGGGACTCTTCGTTTACTTGATTCTCTCTTCGAAAAGGCATTCATCAGTGATCAGGACTGTGATTATCTCATTGAAGCATTTAATAAAATACATTGTCATGATGCCATGAGACGACTTCAAGGTTTGTTTTCCCTTTCCTTACTATAATTCACATTGAACGATCGGTCTCTGTCATTTAGAGTATCAACAAGCTCGAAAGCAAAGTAACCAACGAAGTTTCTCACTTCAAGATATTCTTCTACGAGACAGTGAAGACGGCAATATTTGCGCACCTAGTTTGTAGCAATAAAAATGTGATACACTACAGAATGAGAAAATATTTTAGGCATCATGCGTGACATAGCTGATCCAATAATGATTGAAGATTCATCGACTTCGTTGACAGACATCGCCCTCCAATACAATCCACCTATCTCGCCGCCTTCTGTGCCTAACCAAACGGAGAAGAATATTCATAGATCTTCACGAGTGAGCACGATCTTCAAAATACCGTTGACTCTTCGTGAATATATTCTACTCATAATCATTACTATCCTGGCTACATTAGCTTCTCTGTTAGCAATCAAACTATGGAGCAAATATTCTCAACCGAACACGACAACGATTTCAGGTAAATTATCGATCTTGTGAATGATGTATCAAACGATGCTCTATCTAAAATTCTGTTCGCCTACATTTTTTACTCTGTTTGTTAGACAATATTCAAGTGAAAACAGCAACAAGTACAAGATAAAACATATTGAAGATGCATTTCTAGCTTTTAGAACTTCCATGATATACGTTTATAGTTGAGTTGTCGTTACCTGTCAGTATCCGAGTGTGTGAATATAAAAGAGAGTATGTCATTTTTTAATTCAACCATACTGAGTTCATGCCGAAATTGAATTACACTAAATAATTCAAAATTTCTCTATTTTGTAAGAAATATTTAATTCTAGGATCTACGTAGAATTTTCAGTGTGTGGGTGTTAATCGTTGTAGTTATGGATGGAGTTGACGATACTACTTATATTCATACTCATTCATCCACCTACATTTCAATAATACAACGGACATCAGCGTGTGTATTTCTATTCTCGTGTACACCCAAAATTGAAGACTCCAGTAGACTCCAACAGATTTTGCTAGAAACCGAATTATTGTGTAATTCATATAATTTTTAAAATTTTCTAATTCATTCCTCGGATCCACTGACTATACTATACTCTATACCTATACCTACCAACATTCATTCGCACGCTTACAATATTTCACTGTATACTGTCAAAAGTTTAGATCATTTTATAAGTTCTGTTGAACGTTCTTGAAATTTTTCATCGAAAAAAATTCCAAAGATCCTATCGTAAAAGGGTTGCAAACATTTCGATGTGCGTTAAAAAAGACAGCTTTTGTACGCTACATCCTCCATAACAGGATGTAGAAATAATATTCACTCTGTATCTGTAATATTCATTAATTGATATATTAAAGAGATAAGGAATAGTAATTGCTTTTGAATGTATTCATTATTTGACAGCGATAGTTAATTTAAATAATGACTGGAAAAGTAAACTGTTTCAGTTCAGTTAATTTTTTGTATACAATAGAAGACATCTATAATAATTTGAAAACATTTCAACTCGTGACGTTTTCTTTCTGACTGAAGCCGCTATGGCTGGATGGTTAAGATGTTCGGCACATATCCACAAGATAGTGCGTTCAAACCTCGGCGCCATCATCCATAGAATAACCTTGGATAAGTTACTAACGGCTGTTTTGTCTCGGATCACCCATCCGATAGCACGCTGATTACATGTGACATACATAAAAATATCCTCGTGGATAGTATGTGGTTAGTCAGTATGCATGGGAAGCTTAAGTAATTAAGCGGAAGGAACTCTGAGTCAGGCCGGCCTTCTGTCCAGAGCTGCAGCTAGTAATAGTTGTAGGAAAAATATCGGGCTCTTGAAACTGTCTCCGGACAGCTACCCTATACTGAAAGGTAGCCGCAAGGCAAGGGTATTCTTTCTTTCTTTCTTTCTTTCTCAAATGGGGTACGGCTGGCAACCCTGCTCCTATTATCAGTTTCGTATATATCGTTCGTATGTTATCGAGCAGGTACGGACGAACATCGACAAAATGTTCATTTTAATGTAGGACAATTAGTACTATAGTACTAGCCAAACCGGGTGTACGGTATGATAAAATGCAAGCAATATTTGAAGCACCATATCGTGTAATTAGTATTCTTGGACCAGTCACATACGAAATTCAACTAGAACACTCGAATTATGTTTGACAAGTACATGCGAATATAATGAAACAATATTTGAACCACAAGATTAAATAAAAACTTTACTCGATCTTGTTCGATGTGATTTAATCCGTTATGAAAACACAAGTCAATATATTCGTAACTAATACTGATTCTGATGTTCATCTTAAAGTATCATGTAACTTTGTCTTATCTTGTTTTATTCTACCTTCTATTTTTGTTTTATTACTTTCATTGCACTATTGTAATTTTTAATGAACGTGAACGTTCATCTTCGAAAAAGGGGGAGGTGTTATCGAGGTAACGTTCAATTATCTTTGTTGTTATATATGACTTGACCTCACGAGTACATATATATATACGTATATATATACATGTGCATACTCTCTAAAAAAAAAGGTATTCTCGGAAACTCAAAATAGGTTTCCGAGATTTCATTCGTCCCGTTCTGCATCGAGAATCACCAGATCGCTATTACCCGGGCAGATCGTTACGCCTACCGGAAACTGCAGAAACCGACAGGAAAAACGCCTGAAGATTACCGTACCCTGTAGGGAAACACACGGCATCGCTGGAACATAGAAGCAGTATCCCACAGGTAAACTTTTCCTAATTTTTTCTCATGATTTCCGGGGCATCTTGCCGAAAAACACAGCAAGTTGGTCGGAACTAATCAGAAAAAATCTAGAGAATTTGCGGCTGGGACACTGCTATCATGTTACAATGATATCATCTGTTTTCCGACAGGACACAGTGACTTTCAGGTATCTTCCAGGATCTGGTGGATAGAACGATCGACATGGGGTGTTGGATCTAAAAAGAAATAACATATTTCATCGCCTTTTAACTTTCAAAAATCGAACTCACCATTAACATTTGTTCATCTGGCGTTTGATCTAAATAAAAATAAAATGTTTCGTTACATCTTAATTTTCAAAATCGAACTCACAATTATTATTTGCTAATCTTATGCTGGATCTAAATAGAAATAAAACATCTCATTACGTTTTAACTTTTAAAATCTAACTTACCATTAATATTTGTTTATCTGAGAATGGATCTAAATAGGAATAAAATATTTCATCGGCTTTTAGCTTTTAAAATCGAAGTCGGCATTAACATTTACTCATCTAACAATCGATCTAAACTGAAGCAAAACAAGTAACCGTCGCCACTCGACTCACTGAACCGACGAATGCACAACACAGACGTATTTTCTGTAGATACGGACAGCGATAGAACCATTATATAAATGTTGTCCCTCAATAGCAATAGAAATTTCAGCCAAATTCTAAATCTAAAACAAAAATAAAAACATCAATGCCCACATCATCTTCAATTGTTAAACTCCTCTGACGCAGAAAAATATTACCAGATTATGATATGATAATATATACTCAGCCAATCTATACCTGAACCCTTAGAAAAAAGTTCCAATATAAGGATAACAAGTCTCATTTCCGATCAGTCCAATTTCTGATCGATGGAAGCTAGAATAAAAAGAATGATGACGGATTTCGATTCCTGGACACCGATAACCTATTTTAAACTTTCATCAGAATCGAGAACAGAGTTGAAATAAAATGTCGAACTCTGTAATCTGTGGAATGTGGATCGGTCCAGGTTGATCGGAGAAAATGTCCTTCTGAGATATTTTGAACTTGGATCATGTTCTGTTTTCTGAATTATTAAATATTTTTAGAAGTATGAAAATCTTTTACAAATTGAGAAAAACGTGGAAACCGATTTTGGCTTTCCCGAATACTTTTTGGACATTCAGTAGGCTTGAAAACCGAAAGGGTTTGCGAATAATGGGTTCGGAAACCAAAAAAGGTATTGTCGCATACCCATTCGACTACCAAGTCAGTTTTTCTGGCAATATTAGTTTCCTAGAATAGCCTGAGGGCTTCTGAGAATATGGTTTGGTTTCAAGCAGCAAGAAAAGGTTTTGTTGAATACCTTAAGGGCATCGAAATCGGTATTGTGGGAAACCTAAAACCGTTTCCGAGAGGGTTTCCGAATCGGTTTGGGTTTTGTAGGAAACGTTTTTTTTTAGAAAGTATACATGTATGCACTTGCATTTCTTGTCCTTCTCTTTTTTTTGGCTCTGTCTATCTCTCTTCCCTGGTTATGCTCGTTGTTATATGTTGATGTAACGTTGTTTTATTATCAACAAGGTTAATAAAAATTTAACCAAAGCTCTACAGCTAACAAAGTGTATACTTAATGATATCGAGTTCACATCAGAGTGAGTCTAATAAATTCCATACAATAAATACACTTTCAATATTGGAATAAATGAAATATGTGTAGAATGCTTGTTACTTTATGCTATATCATCAAAACATTTTGGTGATATAACATACACGAGGAGATATGCTGAATATTTGTTTTATTACTTAAATTTCATTTTACTTACGTTTGCAAGTGTCACTCAGACAAATACAATGTCGCCATCTATCCGCATATTTTTGCCAGCATGGCATATATTTCATCAGTGAAATCTAGGAGATGACGTTACAAGGGAGAAAGTTACGTGTCATAACGTAAGCAATATGATCTTATATATATGGACAAGTAGAGATTTTCTACACATTGTATTCAGCAATAACTCAACGAAACATGGTTCTGGTCGATCTTGCTCGGCGTCTTTTATCAACTACACGAACTTTACGTAATGCAACAATTATTAATGAACAAATTTTAAATGAAGCTTTGAGCGAAATTTGTCGAGCTTTATTAGAAGCTGATGTTAATGTTCGATTAGTTAAAAAATTACGTGAGAATATCAAACAAGCAATAAACTTAGAAGAAACTCCTGTAGGTTTAAATAAAAGTCGGTTAATTGAATCACTAGTTTTTAAAGAACTCGTTAGATTGATTGGTTCTGACGTTAGAGCATGGCAACCAGCGAAAAATAAAGCGAATATTGTGATGTTTGTTGGTTTACAGGGTAGTGGAAAAACAACAACATGTACAAAATATGCCTATCATTATATGAGACGTGGTTGGAAAACAGCGTTAGTATGTGCTGATACATTTCGTGCGGGTGCCTTCGATCAATTGAAACAAAATGCAACGAAAGCACGTATACCATTTTATGGTAGTTATATAGCAAGTGATCCATTACTGATTGCTCTGGATGGTATTGAAACATTTCGTAAAGATAATTTTGAATTGATTATTGTTGATACAAGTGGTCGACATGCACAAGAAGAATCGTTGTTCGAAGAAATGCTTCATATTTCAAATGGAATTCAACCTGATAATATCATTTTTGTTGTAGATGCTAGTATAGGTCAAGCTTGCGAATTACAAGCAACAGCATTCAAATCAAAAGTCGATGTCGGTTCAGTAATAATTACTAAGCTTGATGGTCATGGTAAAGGTGGTGGAGCTCTGAGTGCTGTTGCTGCAACAAAAAGTCCAATTATATTTATTGGTACAGGTGAACATATTGATGATTTTGAAGCATTTGACACTACACAATTCGTTGGTAAATTATTGGGTCATGGTAATATAGTAGGCTTAACTGAAAAAATGCATGGACTGAAATTAGAAAATAATGATAGATTATTTAGAAATTTAACAAGCGGTCAATTTACATTACGTGATATGTATGAATTGTTTCAAAATATCGAGAAAATGGGCCCACTCGGACAGATACTGGACATGATTCCTGGACTCGATATAGAACTTTTATCCAAAAGGAATGGACAAGAACCACAGGCGCGCTTGAAAAAAATGATATGTATTATGGATAGTATGCATACTAATGAACTGGACTATTCTGACGGATCAAAACTCTTTCAAAGTCAAATCGGTCGCTACACTAGAGTAGCTCGTGGTTCTGGTGTTTCAATACAAGATGTTAAAGATTTATTAGGACAATATTCAAAATTCTCCAAAATTATTACAGAGATGTGCGGCATGAACGGTCTTCTTCGACCGGGTAAGACTAATGTAAAAAAATGTTATTATAAGTTCCTATTCAGAACAAGACGTTAGTATGCTCATGTTTTCAATGGGATAGCTTCGAGAAACTAAAATATCATAATCTCAATCTTCTGATAATGTCTATTGTTGAAAGAATTCCTTTTCTTTAAAGCTGAATCGTATGAAATCAACTGAGTGCTGTCTATATAAATGTTTTTTCCTTAAATAATAATATCAAATACAATAGTCCCGTCTTATTATGGAAACCTTTGGTTTTGTATTTTTCTTTTGAATTAATTGATCTAAGATTCTTTTTTATTTTAATGAAATAGGTGGCACATTGAGTTCATCGTCGATGATGCGAAAATTTCAGCAATATGGTTTACCAACTGATCTTGTCAAAAATTTTGGTGATTTTAAATGAGCGAACTCTAACAAGAAAAACAGAAATATCTCTACTGTAATTTTTATTCTATTTCGACTTCGTATATATCCAGTAGACAAACATCTCTTATTGTTGTATTTCATAATTCGATTTTTGTACCTTGTTTCATAAAATATTTGAGTTTGTGTGTGTTTGGCTTCATCTTATCTTAACCCACACCTTTTCTGAAATTTCACTCAAGGTTTGAAGATTTGCACGATACGAAGTCAGTACCAAGCTCAATGAAAGTTCTTTTCTGTGAAAAAATATATTAACTAAAAGATCAATGATTAAACTTATACCTTCGATAAAAAAAAGTATTATATCTACCACTCATTTTCAGAGTTTAAATATATATTATAAAATTTATAGGAACGTAAAATGGTTTTTTCGCTTTCACAACATTCATAACTCGGACAATGATAAATTAGATGTTATTTTAAACGTTGGTAGCAATAAATCATGCACAAAGCACTGACCAAAAAAACTCAGCAAATTCGCTTCAATGTTAACAACCAAACATAGTATTTTGCTTTGTAAATTGTAATAGGTTAGGGAAAACTTCGATAGAAGAAAACGGTTTATATTTTGGTTTTTATAAGAGGAATTCCGTTTCCCGAAGGAGACGGGAGTGAACCCAGATGATCCTGGTCGATGTCCAAAAATCCGCTTGAAAGAGCCTGGACCCAATGGAGCCAGCGTCGACTTTCAAACAGACCAAAATATATACTAGACTGTGATCTTAGCCGAAAAGGCCAAGGAGCGATAACTATTTTGAAGGAAAACGAATCTCGATGTCGCTCATACATTGACACATATTTCAAATGAAAGGATTGGAAAAAAACATAAAGTGTAAAGACAGCAGAAATGTCGTGCCCCACTGATCGACAAGGCAAATTGCTTATTACAAACTTACCAAGAGGTAAATGATCTTTACTGATCAAATACATGTTGCGATGACGAAATCGTGCGAGTTGATGGAAACATCTACTTGCCAGAG